AAAAGATAGGCAACTTCTAAATATTTCATATTTTTAATGTTTTACACAGTAATTCAAAACAAAATTAAGTAAGAGCTATTAACTATACATAAGCTTGATAAATGGAAATTTTATTAAATATCTTTTTATGACTACAATCAGCATATACCATATCCTACTAATATTCAATCTAACTAGTGGTATCAAGTTTCTTTAATTGTTAATGTTTTCTTAATTTTTTTAAAATTATAAATCATTTTAACATATTAAAAAAAAGTGTAGTTATCATTTAAATTTACAAATAAAGATTGAAGTATCTATGTTTATCACTCTGATATAATGTTTGATAACAACGTAATGGACTTAACAAACTATATAAATAAGCTTAAGTTTGTCTTTTTTTAAATTAAAATTGCTAGTATTCAGAAAAACAGATAAAAATAAGTTAATTGATTTAAATAAAAAATTAAGTTAATTTATAAAGTTAAAAAATTTGAGTAAATTAAAAACTTTTATTATGTCTCCATAAAAGTTGAGAACACTTTAAAAGACAGTTTAAAATATAATTTTTCCACTGTAGAAATTTGTACATTTACTTCTTATCGTTTTTCAATTAAAAAATAATTTCCGAATTTATCTACATCATAATAAAAACACGTGGCAAAAATTTTAAAAATACAACACAGTTTTCCATTCTTTTTCTTTTTTTTTTAAATTGAACAACATAATGAGAGGTCATAAAATTGAAATATTATGAACAACTCATTTCATATACTTAATCATTATTTAATTGAATTTTACAAAAGTACAATATGTATTTATATTTGTTCAAAAAATTGGCATGCTCACAAGAAATGCAATGCTTTCTGGCAACAGTTTTACAATTTAAAATAGCAAAATTTTCAGTGGGCAAGTTTGTAACAACTTTCATATTCCTGAAATGTTACAGCTTACTTTATTTACAGGTAAAAAAAATAGAGAGGCTTAGTATATCACAGAAATTTATACACATTTCATTTATTGTCTATGTAATTTTTAGAGAGCTTATCAACCACTGTTTTAATTTACACTGGATTGATAGATGTCAAGAGAATTGTGTTGAGCTACAAAAAAATAAAAGATAAACTTATATGTAATATGTACTTTATTTCTGAAATACAATATAGCAGAAAAACATTAAGAGTGTTCTTCAAAGCTCTTTCACTTAGAAAATAAAAACAGCTACAGTTTGAGAGGTTTAAACTTGAAGCAAGGTTTTGATTTTAAATTAAATAAGCTACTTTAGTAAAAAAGAATTTCCTGCTTTTTAAAATAGACAAGTAACTTAAATTTTTAAAAACTTATTAAACTTTTTTTTAAAAATAACTAGTTTGGAAAGATTTTTTAGGAGCTAATTTATCCCCTCTTCTCAAATTTGAATACTGACGTATAAAGATACATTTTCCCCCTGATTCTAGATAGATATGAGTATCATTACAAAATAAATAAGTAAAAATTATATGCTGAACAGTTTGTAAGAAGAAAATGGAGTGTTTTTTTAGTGCAAGACCATATCAGAGGATAATAAAGAATTATGGCTTTCTGGACTTGAATCAATAAATAATTCTCAATATTATAATAATTCTCTACATTAAAAATGCATTTTCATGTTAATTAAATTGTGTTTTTTTCATAATTAGCATAAAGGGGGATGACTAAATATGAATAAATTCAAACTTAGCTAAATAACTTTTACAATCACACAATGCCTATAAAAATAGCAAATTATTGTGTAAAAAAAAACATTATTTCATATGACAACAGAGCCTTTGAAGAACAGCCTCAAATAGATTAAAATCTAAACCAAGCTATTTTAAAGCATAATTTTTAATTACAAAGACTGTAAATAAATAATTAAACTTAGAAAAATAGAATCAAGTAACTAGTAGGCAAATTATTTGACTAGTGTTGACCCTCTGGCACTTTCAAAATTTGGAAGCCTGTTTTGCAGTTTTACCTCTATGCACAGTTTTTCTATCGAATAACTGTGGTTTTACCTCAATATACACATTGAAATGCAATCTTTATGCATGCAGGGACATCAGAGGATTAAAATGTATAGCATTTATAAATATGTAGTTGGCCCAAATTTAATTGAGCTATAAATTTGTTATACCAATAAATGAAAAAGAATAATCAGATTTTGAACAGAATTAATACATTTAGGAAGACCTAGAGAAATAAAACTTTTTGACAAAACTAAACAAAATTGTATACAAATTCATAATAATTCAAGCATATTATGCATTTTCCTTTACTTTACACTTTTGACCTTATCCTTCTTCAGTATCAGGATTTTATTTTTTCTTAATTTCAAAATGTTAACAGTTTTAAGCTTTTTTATTCAAAAAAGGGAAAAAAATGTCTTGCGCAAAAGGAAACTTTATATGGTGTGAATAATATTTTCAAATTATCTTCATCTATTTCTCTATTTAGTCCAGAATTTTTGAAACTTTACTTTTTTTCTTAGTACACTCATGGTCTTTTACATTTTATTATTAATATTTAGGTGTATTGAATGAAATAAGAAGTTCTAAATGAAGTAAAATTAATACATTTTTTTCTTCAAAATAATAAAACTGCTCATGCATGTTAATAAGGAAGTTTCTGTATGCAGTGGTGCAAATTATGGTTCTCTTTTTAAAAAAAAATATTTAAAGGCTGAAATAAATATAAATACACAAAAATAAGGCCAAATTTGTAAAATAGGCCCCCCCCATTAAAAAAGAAATCACCCTGACTAGCTTTGGTTCGAATGACAAGATTTTCATTTACCAAGTGGCAATTTTAATGGCTTGAAGGATGAACCTACGAAACTTAAATCATGCTCACTATTAATTAGGTTATTGAATCAGACAAAAAGGTTTGTCTTTTGAATGTACTAACTTCGGCTATATATACAGTAAGGAAAATATGGTCCCAGTAGTTTAGTAAAAAGAGAGAGAGATTCAAAGCTCAGAACCAATAATGCTAGTTTATGTTAGTGATGATTAATGTATATTTTTCCACATCTTTGGAACTTTTTAAGCAAATTGGAAACTTTTTTTTTATAAGAAATAAAATTTCTTAAATTTTATAATAGTAAAAAAAATGTTGAACTGTAATACTTACGAATTTCTTTTAACCTTCAGATGCAGAATTTTTATTAAACATATTCTTCATACTTTTTTTCCATTATTTTGTATTAATTCAGGTCAAATTAAGTGAAAAATATTATGTTTAGATTTTTAATAGTTTATGGTTATGAAATAGGCATAAATAGGTAAAGAAAGGGACACACGTGCCCCTCGGTAAATATGGACCGATGACTAACTTCCAAACAAAAACTACTTGCAGTTATTTAGATCTTAGAGAAACAGTAATATATTATAAAATTTTTTTAATCTTACAAAATCGAAAGGTGATCAATTTTTGAACATAAACGAAAAAAAAATTAGGAAAACTTTTTTTTCCCCGATTTTTATATTTTAGTACAAATATAATTCCGATATTTTAAAAGATTCTTTTGGTAACTATTAAACTGTTTTTTAGAATTAAAAAATAGCAGAATATATTTCTACTAGTAATAAGAGCATCAGAAAAATATATATGTAAAAGGACTTCAGTGTCTCTTCTGCGCCAAAGAGTTAAATTATGAAATTTTAAATGATAAAAATTTCTTTTCAAAATTCGAATGCAATTGCTCGAATAGTTTATAAATGATCAAACTTAAAAGAAGTAAAATTTTTATTTCTCGAGGACTTCCGGTTTTATTTAAATTTTGTTATAGTGTATAAATTCAGTATTAGTGAAATGGAGTTTTTGTTTTAATTAGCCTAATATTTTTCATAACACAATTCCCACAAACTACTTAATTTCATTAAAATATATGAACTAAAAACAAAATTTGTTTGCTAGGGCTCATATCTGCCGTTGATAGCAAGTTTAAATCTGGGTCCAATCAAAAACATGTAAAGCAATAAGGTACTGTAATATTTGCTGTGACAGAAAATCCCTTCAGGAGAAAAACGAGGATTAATAACCTCAAATGCCAAATACATCAAAAGAACACACACATAACAACACACATTGAGGAAATAAAGGCGGTTTTGAGTTGGTCAGAAATAAGGCCCAAATTTAGTGCAATATATTGTATATTGTACTATACATACAATATACAATAATGCAAAGTATACTGAAGTAATCAAAAATAGCACTCAAATAAAATTTTTGATAAAAAGTATAGTAGTACTTAAAATATGTGTTTCTAAATTTAGCCTAACTATATTATATTTACATTGCTGATTTAAATAGTAGAATTTACAAAATTGGGTTAAAAAAATCTTTTTTTGGCACATTACAATATTTCAAACAATTTTTTTACAAAAACAGTTCATAGAGAGATAATTTAAATGTATTATTTTTGAGCATTACATGTCAATATCTTGCACACATAAAAAGCACTGATATTTATTATAAAAACATGGCTTAAAATTTGTTCAAATGATTAACTAATACTTAATAAGCATTCAAATATAATTGAAAAATGGCTTTGTTATTATAACTTGATACTTTTAGCTGGCTCATCACAAAATAATTTAATTCATCAATTCCAGTTTCGAAAAATAAAAGAAAAAAGCATTTTATATGTACTTAGGTCATGGTGCATGTTGAAGAAAATGTCCTAGTTACATCAATAGCAGTTAGTAATAAGTGCATGCTCTTTAATTAACATGTTAGTTGGTGAAAAAATAAATTATTTAAGACATAACTTTTACACACCGTAAAAATAGACAAAAGCTAGGAAAGTAAAATTAAACCAAAAATAATGCTGCATAAAATATTTACAAAAATCAAAGTAATAATACTTTTTAGTGTAGCATGAAAATAAATAGAAAAAAAAATTATGTATAAAATCTTTTTAGTAAGTATATCACTAAAAAAAGCTTAATGATTTTTGTTGCTTTTAATAAGTAATATTTTATTACAAGTGCACTTTTTTAAAAAAAATTCGTCCACATTAGAGTAAAAAGACATTTTGTTGCAACAAGCAAAACAAATATTTCAAAGTATTTCTTATATCATAGATATAGAAAAATCGTAAGGCAATGTAATATAAAAACTAAACTTTTATTTCAATAATTTTATGTTTATTGTTAATATTTTAACAAAATAAAAAATATGTTTCATTATTTACAAAAAGTTATCAATTCGCAAAATATTTTGCGTTTCAAAGTAGTTACTAGGAAATTTCAAGAGTACCATTAGAAGATTGAATTACTCAATATCTTGAATCAGCCAAATTTGAATAAAATAAAAGTTTGTTGTATTAAATTTAGAGCATCTTAAAAAATGTAATGAATTTTTAAAAAAAAAAACATCAAATAATTTGCATATAAATTTAAGTATAAAAAGTAAAATAAAAGAGAATTAAATGAAGGATGAATGCTAAACGTTCCTAGGAAGAAATAGAAATGAAAATCATTTTAAAATGATGCATGAGTTTTGCAACATTTAAAATAACGAGTAAGATTTTAAAATATAAAGCATTTTGTATGAAGTAAAGCGACTTTTTATAAAATTCTTAATTTTTTTACCTTCCACTGTTCACATTCTACAAGATCAATAGATTTCAAATTTAACCATGTCAGTTTTTGCACCATATTTAAATATTTCAATGTTTATATACAATACATATCATGCACATACTAAATGTTGTCTAACTATGTAAAGAAGAAAAACTACACCATAGCAAGGGATCATAGTATTTCCAAATAAATTGTAAATAATGGATATTCAGTAATAATTTTTTATTAATAATAAGTACTCACATTACTATATAGAAATAGTAAACGTTATATAGAATAAACACATATTAACTCGTTACCTGTCTTAGTGCTATTTGCTTTTATTAACGCAAGCAAGGTGTAGGAAACAAAATTATACATCAAAAAGAAGGGTAAAAAAGGACTAAGCAGGAACATAAAAAAAGATACACAAAATATCACATTTCTTAATGCAGGGTTCCCACTTTATTTCAGAAAAAAAACAAATTCCTTGAATTTTCAAGGTATTTCAGAAAAATTTCAATGTAAATTCAGACCATATTTTATCTTATAAAATGCATTTTTTCATCAGAAAACTTTGACTTTTGTGAGTAAAAAAATAGCATTGAATATGGATGGAAGCATGGTAAAGTTTCACTAAAATGTGGAATTTTCACAGCAAATAACTGTAATAGATGTTAGAATTATTTATATTAAATCTCAATAACTGATTACTGTTACTGAAAATTCTGAGACTGGTTATTTTACAGGTATGATAAAGAAACTTTCCAGGTTTTGGCTTAAAAAAAAAAAACTTTCCTGGGTTACACTCTGCTTTTTAGAGTTATTCCCTTTCATTTCCAGGTCTTATCTGTTTTTTCTGACCCATGGGAGCCCTGTAAAGTAATGTAGAAACCAGGTAACGAGTTAAAGCAAGAAAAACATATCCAGAGACACAATACTGAGATTTTAAAATGAGAATAAAATGCGCATCATGAATAATTACAGAAACATATGATTGGTGGGCTCTAAACAACTATAATGCTAAAATATCACAAACAAAATGACAAGAATAATTGCTTTGTCGCAAAAACAAATGGGTTTGTCTTAAAATGATGCCTATACATTAATATAAGTCTTATTCATAGCTGACATACCCATTGTATTAAATACTAGATTAATATTACACAGAGCTTTTTTTGAGCAGTTCAAAGAGCAACAATAAAATTTTGCAGGTAAACCCATTGTATTAAAAATTAAATCAATATTACACAGAGCTTTTTTGAGCAGTTCAAAGAGCAACAATAAAATTTTGCAGCCAACCCATTGTAATAAAACTAGATTAATATTACACATAGCTTATTTGAGCAGTTCAAAGAACAATATAATTTTGCACTCAAATAGCAATTTAACCTGCCAGCATTAGCTACTAGATATAAGTTATCTTTGGAGACTTTTTTTTATAATCAAGTCATTTGGTGTTATTTATATTCCTTCATGCCTTTAATATCTTATTAATATTTCTATTTATTTTGGCTTATCATTATCATCAATAATAAAATTCTCTGATTATTTCAGGGTATTTAGGGAAGTTAATTAAGACCAGGTTTCAACTATTTCTTCGGGTAAACAAGATTATTTAATGATGTGAGGAACAAGACGTCACTGATTGTAGACAGGACATAAAATTTAACACCAATGTTGAAATAATTGCAATATATATTGAAATAATTTAAATCAAATCTCAATGACTACTTATTATTATCGTTCATTTCAATATCAGTCATTTTACAGGTTTGGGGAGAAAACTAGACTTCTTCTAAATTTTTCATACCAAAATCAACCTGTCTAACAGTTCCAGATTTTCTGAGTTCACCTTGCTTTACAAGAACATTGCTTAAATTTTTCATTGATTTACTATTCGCAAGATTTATTTATTATCATTTTTAAAACTGAAAATACTTCATACAAAATTTATTTATTTTCATGGCAGAATAAAATACAAATGACACCTTCATGGTTACATAAAAAAATCTCCAAAGAAAATATAATGAGATTACCAATAAGTATCCAAGCATCGATTTACAATTCAGTGCTATGCTGTTCTTTTTTCTCTTCCAAAGGAATTTTACATTCATCCCCATTGTGGTCTGTTATTTCATAAATAGTGCCAAGTTCCATGGCTCCTCCAAATATAGTACGCCTTTTGACTTCAAATTTTTTTAACGAATGCCACCAGAGTGTAAGGTCTGGATATATAGTACGAACAGTAACAAGAACAGCCAATATGTTCTTTACCAGGAAGAGAGTAACATCATGATCGTAAAGATTCCACAAATACACCCTAATAGCAAAGTATGGGATGTTAACCAAACCCAGATGTAAAAACTTGTGGAGAAGCTTAAGACCCAGAGAGCGAGGTTGATTTCCAAATTCCGACAGACTCAGCTTGTATAGCGTCATCGTTGGAAGAATGAAATTAATGCAAGAAAGAATGAGTATGGCATTTTCCAGTGGGTAAGTTAACACAATTTTCGACTGTGTGGGGAAGAGTATGCCCAAAAATGTTACACTGTCAAAAATTTCAAAAACAGTTGAAGTTATCAAAAAGTGGATATAAGCTTGGCCATCAGAGTGGGGCTCAGCATTATTGTGGGTCTCTACTAGTAAGAGAAACACAACAGCGGATGATGCAATGATGATTTTGAGCAATTGAGTCCCAAATGCTGAGTCAACATCGAGAGATTGAGCAACATCTAGCTTAAACAACAAAACAACTTTTGATGTTAACAATGATGAATAAATAAACCACACAATATAAACAAGTGGGAGATAGCCTAAGTTAGATTTTTTGGGGGGAGGTATATTCTTTTTACCAGCAGCCTCTGCTTTCTTCTGTCTTTCCTGAAAATTGGAAAAAAATAAGCATTGAAAATTAAAATCAGATAAATAATACATGAAAATAGGAGTTTTTGAAAACAGTACTGGTCATGCCAACAGAACGGAGCAAGACTTTTTGGTCCTGTTGCCATTTCAATCCCGCTAACATTCCTTCTTTTGCCATTTAACTTTTTCTCTTTCAGATATTAAAATTTAAAAAATGTCATTTCTTTCTTTAAGTAGGGAATTATTTGAAAAGCGTTTCCAAATTGCGTTGCATGAAAGCAGTTAGTGCAGAAATACATCATTAGTTAATATTTATCATAATTACATAAATGATGAAATAAAAANAATTAAAAAAAAAAAAAAAAAAAAAAAAAAGGATAATTTCAATTGAGGATAATTTTCACAACTTGTTCGAAAATTTTGGGCAATACCTCATAAATATTCTTAATGATTTTGATGCTCAATTCCACACTTTAAATACTTAATAACCATAAAATTTTTGATTTTCTGTCATTGAAAATAATAAATAAAATAATTTATTAAGCTAAAAAAAGTTATATCTAGGGCCATCAAAACATAACAACTGCAATAAAAAAAAGGGATGAAATGCCTATCTGAAAATAAACGAATCAAATTAGTAAAGGGACTGAATTGGTAAGGGACCAAAATCGGCAGACTACGATAGAAGGAATTTATTCCTTTACTATAATAATAGGTTTAAATATTTAATGCATTAATAATACAATTAATAGGTTTAAATATTTATAAATATTTAAGCGTCTCTATCTGGTTTCATAATAACAATAATTTTCATAATAATAAATTCTTAAGTCATATGTTACCAAAAAATAATTCCAAATTTGTGGTTTTATTTTTCCTTTTAAATTAATTATTTACTTAAAAAAAAGTAGTTTAACAACACTTTTATTCTAACAGAGTTAAATAGCACTCTAGATAACACTGTTCAAACAAAAACTCTTCATACTTTTTAAAGAAATTTTATGACTAAAGTTAAAAATATTACAGCCAAAATAGGAATTTTAAACATTATAGGAAATGTCAAGGCGGCATGAATATATTAAACATTTTTTATAATTATATAACAAAACATATCACATGATAATAATTTTACAATGAAGGTTACTTTGTACATTAACATTACATTATCTTTTATTCTTGATGATTATTTTTAATTAAAAAATTTTTCCTTTATTTCTACACTCAGTAAAAATTATAAATTGTAAAAACAATTGAGATTTTATTTCAAAACTAGGGCAATTTGAAATGAAATAATGACGAGAAAAAAAATACTCAATAAAATTAAGTTTAAAGTAAATAACTCAAGACTAACAGGAGGCATTAATACAAGGTTCTTAATGAAATAAAGAGAACTTTTTAAAAGCTCACTCAAGGTAATTACAATTTTTACAAATGCGAATATGTTCTGCAATATGCCAAACTTCAAAGTCTGCTTAGTTCAATACAAGCAAGATTTTTTGAACAAAAGATCAGGTGCATGATTATTGATACTTTTACAATTGTAAAAATAAATTAACTTACCTGCAATATAAAAAAAAAAAAAAAAAAAAAAAAAAAAAAAAAAAAAAAAAAAAAGTTAAAAATAGAGTATTTTAAAATATGAAAATCTGTAGAGAAAAAATACATACCAAAATGTAAAATAGTAAAATAGTTCATTTTTGGCTGAATCTAAGCAACATTTTTGATATGGGTAAAGTTCATAGTTAATGATATTTCTAAAATAGCAAATATGTACTAATTCTTCAGTAAGATGCCAAAAATAAAAATATTTTTTAAAACTATTAAGTCTATATGCCAAATAAAAAATTACGAGCAAAAAATGAAAAATAAACATCTTAAGGAGACTTTAAAAACAATTTAATGAATTTTTAACAACCTGTAACTGCAACTGATAAAAAAGAGTGACACTTGATGAGCAGGATTGGCAAGTTTTTGACAAATAACAGTTTTCAACCGTAATGTGATGTTGACAGCCCTTTTTGACATTGTTTTTAACATTTGCCAAAAAGTTGTTGGAATAGGAAATAATTATTGGCTATTATAAATATGAAGTAATTATCTAATATATATAATTCTCTTACGTGGCTCTCAAATTTTGGCTATATTTCTTTTCCGCCGGTGGCAACGCTTGCTTTGTTTTGTTTACGTTACTATTTCTCTTACACGGCGAATCGACCAATGATTGACGCAAAAAATGTCACATGCCAAATCTAGCTGAGGTGGCTCAACATAGAGCGCTTTTAAAAACGGAAACTGAAATAACCAGAGAGAGCATAAGCTAGGCAGAAGTGAGTAGTCTTTGTCGATAGATCTCTATTTTAGTATTTTGTCGAAAGCGCTTTTTTTCACGAATTTATATATTACGAATTTATTTGACGATTTTTGATTTATATCACGAATTTATTTGTTTTACTAGAATTTATTTGTTTATGCAGGTTTTTCCATTGCAATTCACTTATTTCAATTTTTAATAGACTTAATTATAGCCAAAATTTTAACCTTTTTAAAGAGATATCAGTTTTAGAAATTTTATCTTAAGATTTTATACTATAGCACATTTCTAATAGGTTTAACGAATTACATGTCATTTATTTGAATTCAAATTTATTTTAATGACTTAGTATTTACTAAAAAGATGTGATTTTTTTTAAAAAAAAAGTTTTTATATGGATTTGAATGATTGTTTTGAATTCTTAGAATTTTGTGCATTTGCAATGTACCTAAGTTAGTAGTGAGCGAAGCGAACCATATAAGATTGCATAGCAATTTTCGGGAGTTGGCGAGCGTCAGCGAGCAGGGGGCGCAGCCCACTAGTAAATAAATAAAACATACTGTAAGTGATCAATTAATTATGTTCTTAAAATCAATTTGGCATCAAACTCCCTTTTTGTTTTGACAATTACTATCAAAAATTTATAATTTTGGTGTAGAAAATCAAAATCTACAATAAATATTTGATAATTATAAAAATATGTAAAATTTCAGTTTATTCAATCTTTTAATTACTTTGCTTACTGTAATTAAAAATATAAAAACTAAATTAAAAAAAAAACACTCAACAATCTTGTTCATTATGCGTAAATCAATTTTAATTTTACTCCCATTTTCACCCCTCCTTTCCCCGGATCATGCGTTAACAAAACACTAGTTTCAATACCATCTGTTCTCAATGTTTATTTTTCAGTTTCGGACGAAGAAGATCAAAATTTGAAAATATTCCTTCGATTAACAAGTTGCATGAATTTGAATGTAGACATACTTTGAACTGTGTGAAATATTTGGTCCTTTAAGGCCTTTCCACCAGACGTGTCGCACCAAGCACAAACTTGCAGGGTACCCGGTAATCATCTGCATTTTAATTATAATGTAAACATTGTGCATGATTTAAGTTATGTAGTTTGACTTTTAATAAAATAATATCACCAATGGCAGAAAAGAAACTTGCCGTCAGATTTTCGACATTTTTCGATAGGATTTTGATGTGCCATGTCAAAAATCATTTTCTGACATCAATACCCCAATTGTTCTGATGAGCAACTTCTGAACATGAGCAGGGACAGCTCATCATGTTCACAAGTTCAGTTTATAAGTGACTGAGTCAAAATTCCCTATTTAAGTAAATAAACATCACCAACTTACTTTTTTTTGATAAAATCTGTAAGAAATGACAGCTGCTGCCATAAAAGCTATGAGTATGAGGAAGTCCGCTAAAAACCAAAAGTACCAGGCAGCATTTCCACCGTTGTGTAGAATTAAATAGTAATCCAAAATACTTCCTTGGAGAACAATTATCAGCAACAACCCCAGGCAATCTGCAACATGTAACACAAGTCTATAACTGCATTTGGATGAGGGTTCCGTTTGGATCATGATGACCACTGAAAGTAAAAATAAATAAAATGTTTCAGTAAAAATAAATAAGAAAAAGCTACAATTAGTTAATACAGTTTTTATTTAAAAGGTTAAAAGATGGATCATATTAAACCAAATACCATGCAATGAGAATTATTTGATATGTTAACATGCTAGAATTATGATTCTACACAACTAGAAAAATCCTAATGGGTTTTGGAAGTGAATTCCACACTAAGGAGAACTTAACAAAAACTTAATGCATTTTTTTTCTCACGTTTTAAACTAGACATTGCATTAGAATTAACCGATGTGCAAATGTTTAAAATTTATCAATTTACAGATAGATCTGACTCTGAAATGGTGATATAAATTTTTTTTAAATTAATAAATTATATTCATAATTAATAAGTTGTGCCATTTTAAGTTATTAAAAGATAATAAAGTTTAATCAATTTATGTCATGTAACCTAATAACTAAGTAATTTATTAATTTTCAGTATTTTAACTAAGCAATATTTTTGAGCAATTATTAATTATAAGCAATGCCGATCAGTCTGTGTAGGGGCTAGGGAACTGCTCTTGCATCAGAAAGGTTCTGCGATCGAATCCCGGGCAAGGCATGGATGTTCTATCCTTCTCTGTACTATCTGTCCTTACTGTGGAAGCAACGTTGGCCCACCTAATATGGTGCCCCTGAAAGAGTGTCCAACAAATCTGGCCTTCAGGCACCTGTATGATCTAGGTTATTATCCAGGTGGGCATTGGGGAAAAAAAATTATAAGCAAAGGCCAGGGGTCGGCCAAGGCCGAATTTACTACCGTTTAACGGTACCTTCACATATTCAATTTTAGGAAAAACAGTAGTTTCACAAAATACTTTTTCTTAAAATTTTATTTTTGTATCCTTTAAGAAGCAATAAATCCATATTTTTGTGTTGATTTTTTAATATAATTTTTAATTTTTCTCAAATTATGTCTAAATTTTCACAAAATAGGTACCTTTCAGAAAAACCTAGACAGACCCCTGAAAGATATGAAAGAAATTATTGAAACCACTATTTCTTTGGATATAAACTCACAATAAATACAAAAAAAAGCTGAATTCTCTTTGAATTAATATAGAGTAACTGGACCCTCAAGATTCTTCTCTTAGGTGACACATGATCAAAAAGTTAATGAGGGTCACTTCACATTGATAATAAAAAGAGGATACTTTTTAGTTAGTTGGGTGGAAATCCTATCAGCTGTTTATTGTTGTAACATTTTAGGATTATTTCTACAAGTGAGCAACACAAATGGTAACAACACAAATTAACATTTTTAAGCATTCAAATTAATTTACTATTAATTTTTAGTACTTGTAGATACATTAAAATTAGTTTTTTAAAAAATGTTTGAGTAATACCATACCGTTTTAGTTTGTCAGGCTCTAAACTGTTATGTCCCTTTTACTTTTCTTTAAATGTAACTAAACTAACTGTTTAAATTGAAAATAATTTTAATTTATTTAGCTGTGAAAATTATGTCATATGTAATATCTAATATACAGTTATGGCTTATCTAATATACAGTTTTAATATTGCTTTAGAATAAAAATCTAACAGTTTAATGTTGTTCCAGAATTTTTTTCAACTCTGTTACCATAACTATTGTATGAGATTATTTTTGTTTTGTTGGCAAAAATGAGCCCATGACTCCCTGGATGTTCTATTTTTAGTTACCATAATTTTTTTGGCTATTTTTTATATAGCCATTCAATTGCTGATGATTTTAATATGATGTTATTAGGACAGGCAAATTTAAAAGTCAAATCATCACTTTTAATAACTTCCTTTGTAATGATTCAATTTTAAATTCACATTGTTTCTGACCACTTTTCTTGACAGTTATTTATTGCTTTTTGGCCATTTACATGTAATATTTAAGTATTAATACGATGTCATTACGACATGCATATTTTGAATTTGTGTTATAACTCCTTAAAAGCTTTGACAGAGAAAAATGCCAAGACTTTGTTTAAAAATCATAATTTTTTTCGGAACTTTCGTTATCTTTTTTTGAAATTTTTGACTTTTTCGCGACTTTTATGATTTTTGTTACTGGTTTTATCTCCTTATTATTTTTTTTATCAGATTGTTAAACTAATATTAAAATTTATAAATATATTTTAAGAAGTATAGCAATGAAAGTGATGACTTCAAAATTTTATTTTATCAAACACATATTTTTATGAAATTTTTTCTTTGCTGTGTCAATCATTTCTGAAGATTTTCAATATCAAGAAAAGGGAAAAATAACATAGTTTTTAAATTCTAATAATTCAAATTAGCATACAAACTAATGTAACATATCTTCTACTTTCAGTTGCAGATGCCACTTATGCAACCACAAAAACATGTACAGTATATGGTTCATAGTAACTTTTATATTACAGTTTATAGTAACTTTTAGTAAAATAGCAGGGGTCTGTCTAGGCGAAACTTACTACCGTTTAGCGGTACCTTCACAAATTCCACTTTAGGAAAAACGGTAGTTTCACAAAATACTTCTTCTTAAAATTTTATTTTTGTGTCCCGTAAGAAATGATAAATTCATATTTTACCTTATTTCCTGATATAATTTTTAGTTTTTCACAAATCATGTCTAAATTTTCACAAAATAGATATCTTTCAGAAAAATCTAGACAGACCCCTGAATAGTAATTAATAGAATGCAAATCATTATAGAAAACAAAATTTTCAAAAAATTTAGGAATTTTATAAACAACCAATTACCAGGATTATAATACAGTACAGAACCCGTTATCCGGAAATCAGAAAACCGGAAAACCAAAAAACCGGAACAAAATTCGATAAATTTTCCCGCAATTTTAGAAATTTTTTTTTTTTCCTTATAAGATTTTAGGATTTTTCCTTCTTTTTTGAAAGATGTTTACCTTACCATCATTTCAAAAATAATCATTAGTGTATTACCTCATCGTTTTTTCTTATTTTTAAGATTATTTCCAATTTTTTTTTTTTTAGTTGAGTTTAACACTAAAAAAACGGCTTTTTGTAGCGATTCAGAAAACCGGAAAAATCAGTTATCCGGAATAGTGATAGTCCCGATCGTTCTGGATAATCGGTTCTCTACTGTACATAAACAATATTACACTAATAACTACAAATTTTAAATTAAAAAATAAGTACAATATTTTCTGTTTGTAATTAATATGAAATAAGTTCGAGTATAATTTTTTAAAATGTTTATGTTTTTCAATTTTCCCAAAAAAATTTTCATAACAACTTTATTTTTTTTTGCAAGAGGATTACTAGTAGAGGATAGAATGTTCTAAAATCTACTGAAAAATATTAAGTAATCAAATCAAGTGGAACAAGTGCAATTTTTCTAAAGATTTAAATCTAAAATATAGATATAGAAGAACATATAGAGGTTTGAGTGCAAATGGTTAAGAGTTATACTCATCAACATCAAATGGATCCTTTTCTGCGATGTTTTTACTTAGTTTCTCATGGTCACTGCCCAAAGTTCATGGCGATTATATTAAAAAGGAGGAAGGAGATGGAAATATTCTCCTTTTATTTAACACATAATTATGATTTTAAGAATGTATTCAATGAAGCAATCAAATATGCATATTTTTTTCCCCACATGAATAACTATTAAGCAATGTAAATAATACTTGACTTTGAAACAACATTCTTAAATAGTAGAGTGCGAAATTTTAGATCTTAAAATTAATTTTTTTTATTCATCTCTTCCATTTATCCAATTTTGACAGAACTCCTTTTTTTCTAAATTAAGTTTTAAAGACAATATATATGTATACAGTGCCCGCCGCTAATAAAATCACCGGATAATAAAATCAGCTGCTTTATAAAATCAAATCGGCAAGAACCGAATCGTTACAATATTAATACATGTTAAAAACATCCTTTAATAAAATCAATGCCACCGCTTTTTAAAATCAAAATTTTGACTTGATAATAAATCAAAGGTGCACTATTTCAGCTTTTTTTGTTCTTATTTATAAAATTTTATTTTTTCGAAGTTTAAAGATTTTTTTAGAAGAAGCAGCAGTTACTCACAAACCTGTGAAACAGGTGTGGTTAGCACTTTCCTGCTATATATATAGTGTAAGAGTTAAGGAAAAATGTGGGTGGTAAGCGGCGAGTTCATAGAAATCAATTTATCAATGTTAATTCCTAGACTTGAATGAAGTTTGGAGAAACCTATCTCACTCAACAGGGGGTCGAATTCTTATCTTACTTTTTATTGAATGAACCATAGAAGGGAGAGAAGTTTCTTTTGTTATCTATCTTAACAGAGAACATGAATAGATTTCCAAAAACTGTCTGTGCACATGTTCCATATTATTTAAGCCCTTTGTGTAAATTATAGTTAGAGCACATATCATTTTTAAGTTTGTTTGGTGTTAAATTTTCTCAGCATGCCGAAAAGTAAGGTTTTTAGTCTTAAAGATAAATTCGAAGTGTCGCAAAACTATGATAAGCTTCCTAAATGTAGTCAACGTGAAGCTTCAATGGAGATGGAGATGGGGCTCATAACTGTTTCGAAGAAATGATCAGCAATAAATAAAATGGACGAGAATTTTTCACGTTACGTAGCTGTTGACGATAACCTGCAGACATCAGGAGAAAAATCTGACTCTAAAATTGTTACAGACATCAAAAACTTCAAAGTTATTTCCCATCAAGAAATGGAGGAATCAGACTCAGAAGATGAAACAAACTCATCAGTGCCATCTTCAATGGAAGTCAGAAAAGCACTTAATGTATTGCGGCAAGCTTTAGAACATAGAGGAGGAATATCGAAAACCATAAAAACTTCTATAAACTCTCAAATGATGTTGAAAAGTTAATTTTAAATACTGCAACTCAAGCAACCATTGATCGGTTTTTTGCAAAACTTTTGTAAATTTAATCTTATGTAGGGTTTCACCTTATTAAAATAATTAAATTAGTTAAAATAAAGCATTAATGTGGTCATTATTTCAGCTTTTAAAGTGTGAGCATTTTGGATATATCGTAAAATTTGTTTTTTTCCTTCAAATGTTGAATCGTCTCTTAATAAAATCAGCCGCTTAATAAAATCAAACATAAAACGAAAGTGATTTTAATAAACGGCGGGCACTGTATATATATATATATACANAATTATATCAGGGGTGTGTGTAGGTTTTTTCTGAGAGGTACCTATTTTGTGAAAATTTAGACATAGTTTAGACTATGAAAATTAAAAATTATATTAAAAAATCAACACAAAAATATGGTAAAAATATGGATTTATATTTTCTTAGGGGATACAAAAATAAAATTTTATGAAAAAGTATTTTGTGAAACTACCGTTTTCCCTAAAGTTGAATTTGTGAAGGTGCTGCTAAACGGTAGTAAATTTGGCCTGGACAGACCCCTGATATATATATATATATATATGTAACATTATAAAACCAATCAAAACTGGTTTAAGCTTAAAGTAAACAATGCAAATACAAATAAAGCTTTAATGGAATATCGATTGACATTTGACATTCTGACTATCATCCCCCTCCAACAGGAAAAAATTATTATAGAAACGTAATTATAAAAGTTAAATACATAAACGCTTATGAATTAACACATTAAGGGAATTAAGAATGCTTTACTGGCAATTATGCATATTATGATGGATTTTCCAAATTCATCTCAATTATTAATAATTGACAATCAAAATTTTAGAGAAAATAAATAAATGAGAGTCAAATTTTGTTCACATAAATTTTTAACATATTTTAACAGAAAAAGAACTTAGTAAAATTTCTTCACATTAATCATTCGTTTTTGTAATTAAATATAAGTTAATCGTAACATTCATACATATTTTGGATAAATTATCATAAGTCCTTTGTGAAAATTTACCACCTTTCTTAGATCATCTAATAACAAATGTAATTGCTAATACAAAATAGTGTAGATAAAAATAAAATTGTAATTTTACAAATTACTTCAAACATTTCATAAAAGTAATAGCAATATAAAAACACCATTCCTTATTTTCATCTGACAAAATGAATACATATTTAAATGAACAAATAGCGTAAGAAACAAGTAGACATACATAAAGATCGAACAATTTCAACTAATGAATCATTAAGAATTAGAGTCTGGAGAACAATGCAAACTTGTAGTAGTCGAAAATCATAACAAAAAAGTAAACAAATCTGTGTTTGTCCATTGAGTTACAGTTGCGATCGCAAGCTATAAAGAATTCAATTGTTTATTTTTTAAGGACGAGATAGCCACGAAACTGAATCCAAACAGTACATAATGTTCAGGAACCGTTCTCGTTGTATTAAAAAGATTCGTGGCCGTAACTGAGAATCTGATCAATAAAATTTTCCTGCACCTCAGATTCGCATCAGCAATTTTTTTAAATATTTTTATTTTTAGTGTAGTGAGATTGGCTTTCAAACGGTTTTGCGTTTCTTTCAAAATCTGATTAATTTGATTTGTTCATTTACGTCGCACTAGAGCTGGACTATGGGGTATAGGCGACTGTCTGGGAAANACATAATGTTCAGGAACCGTTCTCGTTGTATTAAAAAGATTCGTGGCCGTAACTGAGAATCTGATTGGAGAAATATGTTTACAGATGAAAAACTGATCAATAAAATTTTCCTGCACCTCAGATTCGCATCAGCAATTTTTTTTAATATTTTTATTTTTAGTGTAGTGAGATTGGCTTTCAAACGGTTTTGCTTTTCTTTCAAAATCTGATTAATTTGATTTTTCATTTACGTCGTACTAGAGCTGCACAATGGGCTATTGGCGACGGTCTGGGAAACATCCCTGAGGATGATCCGAAGACATGCCATCACAATTTTGATCCTCTGCAGGGGGGATGGCACCCCCGCTTCGGTAACCCGATGACCTGCACGTGAAGTCGAGCACTTTACGGTAGAACATTTTAACGAGGACCAATACCGCACACCCTTGGTCCCTACGCAGACTGATCCAAGTGGTCACCCACCCGCACATTGACCGCAGTCAGTGATGCTTGACTTCGGTGATCTGCTGGGAACCGTGTCTTAACGATCAGTCCATTGCGGGACTGATCGTTAAGACTGATCGTCACTTCAAAATCTGAAGGGAGCCGATAAAGAATTAATAAAGCTACTAATCAATTTATCACTTGGTTTTACTGTGCTAATATTGAAATAGTAGGAAAAAAATTTCATTAAAATTTCAAGGATGACAAACTGTTATTCACGGAGCTGTTAAAAAAATAAAATAAAGAAACGAAAATTAGACTCAGTTTCATTCTTACATTTATATAATTTTGAAATTACATAAACTTAAGGAACCAATGGTTTAAAATCAATAAAGACTTACTGCAGAACATGTTTTTGACGTAAAATTATGTTTTTGCTTCTAATGACACTTGGAAAACAGTTCACCAGCCAATGGCTTTGCGAATAGAGGGTAAAAGGAGCACCTTTCGTTTGGCAAGAGAGCACCGCTAGTGGAAAAGTGTGATTTAGTACAAGACCCCGGTAAGATGGCAGCACTATTCCTATAAGATACTCTCTTAACCTTACTCTTAAAATTTCGACATAGCTAAAGGGGAAGGAAATTTTATCCGGATCCTTATACCCATGGTACTGCTTGCTTATCGACTGACCTCAGGATTTTCGAGCACGTATGTATTCGGTGGGTCTTAGCGACTTTGAGGATCAAACCTCAGTCACGATTTTTCAATCCAGTGGCGTTAACGACCCGCTTTCTTGTTTGGCATTTTCTGATGTAAAATAAAAATTTGATTGTTGATTTTTTTTTTAGTTTAGGTAACAAATTTAAAAAAATAAATAAAAGCTTGCATTACAATTGCGACCATTTACAACTAAGAGGAAAACCTCTGAAAAAAGAGAGCGAATCGTTAAAATTCGCTAGATTGTAAATCAGGACAATCTGAGCCGAAGTCCAATGCTATTTATTACCACTGATCTACTACGACCCGAAAATCATAGTTTCGGTTTTCACACCAAAATAATCTCCAATTTTCGCAGACTTCAAGGTTTTTATGTAGTACAAAACACTTAAAAAAAAAAAAAAGTGAAAAAAAATTTAAATTCAATTTAACCACTTCGCTGTTTATTACATTCGCCTTTCTCTATTGTATCTTATTTGCTGGATTTCAATTGCATCCTCATTTTATTCTCGCTTAAATATTTATTTGAGATCCCCAATGTGCGTTATTTGCGACCCCAACTTTTTGCTTTATATTTTATATTCTAAAAATACATATTGAAGGAAATCTTTCTGGAACTCTCAGTGTGCAGTCGGCATAAAAAAAAGAAAAAAAAAAAGATATCATCCTGAATAACTTTCGTTCTAATGATCCGATTTTCACGTACTAAGTGCCAATCTTAATGGTTTCTGGGGGTTGACCTCAAATATGCTAATTGTTTAGTGCTAACTATTAATTAAGTTACGAAATCGGACACAAAAACGTACTTTCTCTGAATAAACATATATTTTTTTGCATATTTGGATTCTTAATCTTCAAAATATAGGGGGTAGCCGCAATCTGGGAGATGTGGTCCTCATAGTTTGGTCCAGAGGGCGATTCAAAGTTTGGACCTCTTAACTTTAATTTTCCTTTTTGCGTTTTTATTAATATTTTTAAAACTAATTTAAAAGCAATTAAAAAAATTGCACCCACTCATAAAACTTATTTACCCAAGGATAATTTCCGGCAAAATTTTTTTTTAATAATTATTTATTATTTTTTATTATTTACTTAAATTGAGGATGAAAAAATGTTGAATTATAAGGTATGAATTTTTTTTATACCATAATTAATCAACATATTTTTCGATTGAAAAATCTAAAGTTTCAACTGCTTTTATCAAATAGAAGCTGAGAAAAATTAAAAATTAATTATTTTTAAAAAAATAATTTGGCGACAATGAAGAAATATTTAAATGGGGCGATTAATATTAAAATGTGATTAACTTACGAGGAACTTGACTTTGCGCTCGTAGCGTAAAATTTCAATCATATTTTCTTCGCTGATAACCGATTGCTAATCTTTTTATTTTTATTTCTTTTAAGTATAAAACACGATGTTTTTTTTTAGTAGTCTAAAAATTTATCCATAATTTACTAAACAAAATTTGAATAAAACATTTTATTGAATAAAAAACATTTTATTCAACGAATGTCGAGTTTTATAAAAGCATGCTTCTAATAGAATTTGATTAAAACACCAAATTGTGCTTATTTAATGTGATTATATTTTATTTTTTAGTTTGTTTTCTCAATAATTGATACAATTTCAATGATATACATACGTTGCATAGATTTGGAATTATATATTTATCAATTTCTTCAATGTATATTTTATAATTATTAATACGAATAAGTAGCCAAAATTTTTTAGCATCTTAAAATTTCTCAACATATTATATATCGTCTTAATCTTAAAATAAATTTTTTAATCACCTGTCAGGAGAATTTCGCAGAATTATTTTACCAACTATTTAATTAAATTTTAACATTTTTAAAAATCTTATTCTTTACGCTTCTACGTATATTATTTCTTCATTAATATAATAATCAATTTTTTAAAGATTTTAATTTAGGTTTTCTTTAAAGTAAAGTTCCTTTTTAAATTATTGTCAAGTTTTTTTAAAAAGAGAGCTTAGCATTATTGTCTGCTAGCTAAGAATAAAACATTGCTAAAAAATTAATTTCATTCCGCTGCTTAAAATTATTTGATGCAAAACAGCTAACAATTTTCTAAGCACACTACTTTTTTCGAAAAATGAATATAAATTATTGATTGTCTTTTTTTTCTCTTCTGGTTTCTTCTTACTTTAGTATAGATTATCTGAAATAGTATTTATGTTTTTTAAATCACTACAATCACTAAAGATACCGAACTTAAAAAGCTGTCGAATACGGAGCCAAAATTTTTAAGTGTCTTAAAGATAGAAAGGTGGATAGGAGTGGAATTAAAATATGAGTGTGTCATCACACATTTTGTTTATAATAAAAATATTTAAAATCACATTCTAAATAATTATAATATTTGTTTTTATATTTTTACCTTCAAACTAAGTATATATCCCATCATTACATAAAAAGCAATAAAAGCATTAATAGTCATAAAAAGCTTAGTTGATAGTAAAAAATAACATTTGAAATACCATTTACAACACGTGTTTTTTCTTCTTTTTCTGTACTGCTTAGATATGTTTAGATAATATGTGACACTGTGACAAGGAGAGAAGATGAGGGGTATGGTAGTAGAGTGTGACATTTGTGACAAAGAGAAGAAAGTGGTCAAAATTATTTAAAAAAGAAAAAAAATCCTGACATCATTTATTTACGGCAACACCATAGTGATTTATAAAGTGTAAAACTGCTCATTTCCAAATTGTTCTTTTAAAATTCAACTTTATTCTTATTTGAGTCGATGATAGTTGATTTTTCTTCTGAGCTGATTTTTTCATTGTTAAATACAAAGATAAAAGGTATTTTTCATAAAACTAGAAATTATCAGAAGTGTAAGATTAAATAACCTTCTGAAAACGAAGAGTGCAGAATTGTATTATTATAATTATGTGGAGAAAAATAGTCAGAAATTTTAATTCAATACCCGTTTTAACTTCCATTCTAATGAGAAGACTATCTTACATTTTATATTTAAAAACACACTGTTGAGTGGTGTAAGTGATGAAAGTTTGAAGTTTATTGATGTTATAATTTAATGATTAAGTTATAATCCATTAATTTAATGAAGTTATATTATAATTTTTTACTTTGACTTCTTTTTTTGCGGATAAAACGCTTATAACTTTATAACTATTAGTTCTTTCTGCCTAGTTTGGATTTTACTAGGCAGTTTTACTAGGCGGTAAGCCAAAACAGGAATTTTTGTTTTGTTTTAAAAATGCTCTACTTGTGTAGATGGCAATTTTATTTGCATATATAGGGATAAATACAAAAATAGTAATTTTTATAAATAATACCTTTATAACGGGTAAACTATTAGCATTATCTATTTGATTTTAGTTTCATTCAATTTAGCATAAAAATTGCTTATGATCCGTTATCTTGTTTGTCACTATAACGATCACATAATTCTTACACTTATCTAATAAATTTGTACTTATACCCATCAAATGTTTAGGCAGGTAAAAGTACAAAATGTACTTTCTATGCATAAAAACTTAAATTTTTAAATTGCTGGTTTTGTAAATTTTGTTTTGATTTCATTCGATTCAGCGTACAATATTATGCAGGAAGTACTATCTTACTTGATAAGATAGGCATTTAAGTCACGCAAATCGGTAAAGCACCGTTTTCATGTCTTTCAGGGGACTGATGTAAATTGATGCATAAATCGAAAAGACGCACTACTGAAAAGTTAGCAGATTAATAATCGAGCTAAGTATTTAAAACTGAAAACTAAACAACTGCTATATATATTTTTTTCATTAAAATTGTTTTGCGGATTTAAAGCATTTTTCAATTCGTAAGAATAACTTTAAATGTAGAAAACAATAGAAAAATAATTAAAATTGAAAACTTATCTTAATTTTATCTTTCAATGAAATTGTTTTGCTGTTTCAAAGCATTTTTCAATAGTAAGAATAACTCTAAATTTTGTAGAAAACAATAGAGGAAATAATTAAAATGGAAAACTAAACATCTGTAATATTTATCTTTCAATAAAATTGTTTTGCGGTTTCGAAGAATTTTTCAATTTGTGAGAATAACTCTAAATTTTGTAGAAAACAATAGAGGAAAAAATTCAAATTCAAAACTTAACATCTATAATATTTATCTTTCAATGAAGTTGTTTTGCAGTTTCGAAGCATTTTTCAATTGTAAGAATAACCCTATATTTTGAAGAAAACAATAGAGGAAATAATTAAAATTGAAAATTAAATATCGTTAGTTTAATTTTGATATGTATTTTATATTTATTTATTATTTATATATATATATTTTACATTTATTTTTATACATATTTTATATATATATTATTTTGTATATATTTAATATATATTTTATTTTATATGTATAATGTATGGATGTTATGTATCCTCATCGGTTCTCTTTTCCTCATTTATTAAAAATTTGATTTTTTGTGATATTTTTTTCTTTTGTTATTTAAAATTACTTTTCTTAATATATTTGCAGGCCTTAATAATTTACGTGCCTAATATATTTGGATGCAACTTCTAAATAGTTTTGATCAAAATTAAATTAAACAGTAAGAAACAAAAATAATTATTTTAATTTTACTCGAAATTATTTTCATGTGAACAGGTTATATTTTCTATTTATATTTTTTATTATTTGTATATACTACATATATATTTATATTATTTATTTTTCTTATTTACTTTATATACATTTTTCAATAAAATTGTTTTACAGTTTCGAAGCATTTTTTAATTTGTAAAAAGATCTCTAAGTTCAGAGACGAAAGAATGTGCCTTATCAGTAATGATTTTATTGTTATGCATTCGTCATTCCTTCTCCGCATATAGTCTAATGACCCTGAAATGTCCACCCCCTATTCTTAACCCATACACTCAGCTGAAATGGGGGATTCTTGAAATAGAGCATTTAATCAATATCATTCTACAGATTTGTCTTTAACTATCAGCTTTTAAAGGAACTGTTGAAAATTAAATTTGCTGTAGCTTTCTTTATGTCCGAGTTTGTACGTTAAGGACTGAGTGAGTAGTTAAGAATGTAAGGATTAGACATAACTGATTTGTCATGATAACAATTGATTAATCGGTTTTCTCACGTGTCAAACTAGTAATTTTAGCACAAAAAACTGATAAAATACAATATTAGAAAAGAATAGAGATTTCATATGGTAGCGCTTTTTCTCAAATCTGGAAATTCTGTAGTTTATCTGTGAATAATCACCAATGATAAATATGACTACACACATGTGATAACAGACCCTTTTCAAAGAAGCAAAACAGAACTATAAGTTTCAGCGGTACGTTTACACGAGAAATATTTTGCACTACGGTCTCCTTTAAAATTATAATTGAACTTTCTAAGCAAATAACAAATGTAAAATTTTCGGATATTTATATATTAATTCATAATGCTTTATCCAATGGTCAGGAATGATGCCACTTTCAATCGATTTAAATGGATTGATGTCTTAGATCTGAATCCCGGTCAAAACTACACGGAATTTCCGATGATAGTGGAAAGATTTGAAGGATTTCTCAAACAGCATGGATATAGTAAGCTGGATGCGATTGGTGAGAAAAGAGTACATCTAGATCTTCAACTCGTTTCTACTTTAAGTCTGGATGGAATTGGTACCAAACAATTCTACGCAAAACCGCTTTCAGAAGTAAATAATGTATGGATGTTTCTAGATGGTAAGAAAACGCTCAATGTAATAAAGAAGGTTAATTGCATCGGCTTGTGCTCTTGGAGTGGTGATTTTATGGAAGAATTGCATCGCAGGATAGCTTCTTCTCCTGATCCAACTGCAACTTTTCAACTTGCCTTGAAAATAATAGAAAAACTATACGTCAGATATTTACCCAGACATCGACTCTTCAAACAAATGACATTGTATTGGACTCTTTTAAGAAATTTAATTTTATCGCGTCAGATAAAAACAAGATGGACCCGACTTGTGGTGGGCATTTTTAAAACATTTTGCCTTAGGCAGGATGTCTACCGAGATTTTTTTAGAAACAGTCTGGATTTATGTTTCTTTTTCAAATGTGTTCTGATAGAGAAGTTCCCTGTCTGGGGATTGTGGCGTGAATCATTGATAGCTGAAGTAACTATGTGCTCATGTTTCCTCAGTACAGACACCAGGAACTTTTTACATGTTCTAACAGTTGGTGTGAAGTCTGTTTTTTCTCCTATGCTTTATGGCAAACTAAAGGCATGGATTATTTATTATTACAAGTAAGTTTTCGTTTCTTTAATTTTATACATAAGAGCATAACTTCTTACTGTGAAATTTCTATGTTCGGTAATGCTTAAACGAGAAAATTAAAATCTTAAAAAATAGCCATTTATAAACGCATAATTTTTTTTAGTAATATGTGTAGTCTTTCCACTAATTTGAAAGGTATTTTTAAAAAATATTAAAAATCATTAACTTTTTATTAAAATAAAATTTTTCATATAAATATACAGAGATTCATTTTTATTAGAACAGTAATTTTAAAGAAAATGTTCCTTATGCGATAATAGTTCACTTTTTATTATATTATATAAGATTGATTTAGCGTACCCTGTTTTTGATATATAATATTTAGCATACATTTATGTATACATTTCTTTGATAAACTCGATGAAAAAATTTCCCAATGTATTTTAAAAGAGAAGGTTTTTGATATAGGATAAGAAAAAATTGAATTTTATTAAAAGATTTATGTGTACCGTTAATTTTAGAAATTTTTCAATTTTTTTTCTTCGTAGAATAGGTTTTAAATATAGGACAAGAAGAATAGAGCTTTATTAATAGATTTCCATGTTTCGTATTTGCTTTAGATTTTTAAATGTATTACTTATGCGAAATTTGAATCGATTGTAATTTAAGAAACGACTTGGCTGGATTCATTTTGAAGTTGTAGAAAGTATAAGTATCTTTGCACACTATTAAGCATACATTTGGCTAGTGAATATTATACATAAAACAATCCTTCTTAATTAATCATTTTTCAGTAAAAATGATATTTTTTTTAAAATTTCTAGTTTTAAAAAAGGTATTTTATTGTATTTTATAACCATTGTTGAACAACCGATCCAATTCTGAGTTTATGCCTATCAATGTTCGACTACGTGGCCGTAATTTTGAACCCAATCCAGAAAAAAATGGAACTCCCAGATCAAGTAATGGGGTAATTTGCCTTCATGGAGGGCTTTTCGATAGAACTAATCTGCATTTGCTTTAAATTGAGAAGAAAACCACGATAGCTTCTCACGGTTAGCCTGACGGAAAGGGGACTCTAACCCATGATCCGTCTACCACTGAGGATATTTTTTTGTTAGCACTGTGGTCAGTGCTCGCTAGATGCGTAATTTGAATCGACCAGTCATATATTATTATAAAACATATTACATACATTACTTTCAAACTTTTTGTCTAACTTTTGTAGCAAATTGCAGTTTTTAAATAATGCAATTTCTGAAAGTTCTAATCACGGCCTTTCTAATAATTTTGAATCAAAAAACTGTGCTGTGAAATTGTGAAAAGAATGTGTAAATGGCTGTTGTCATAGAAACCGACACGCAATAGAAAGAACTTCGTGGACCAAGGGATCGTTTTATTGTGGGTGCATAATATCGCAATTATGAAATCATAGCTAAAAAAATACTTGGCTAATTTTAACAAAGCAATGCTTAACTTTAGGAATTTTTAAACTAATAAAAAAAATTGGTAGTAACAGAATTTTTTTCTTGTATAAAAGTACCCTTTAAGGTAGTATTTCATAGAGGAAAAATGCATTAAAAATAATTAACCTGCTCTGAGGTTGTCATTTCCGATAAACAAAATACGTTAAGATAACAAGACCACATGTTTTAACTTAAAACTAACACACATATGGGCACGGACATTTTACAAAAGGAGTAAATTCAATTTTCAAACCAGAAAAATATGATTGATAAATCTATTGTATCTTTCGAAAAGAAAGTTACACACTTCATGGATTACCATAAATTACCACCATTCTAGAACTTCGGGGAAGAGTTTAAGAATCATGTCACTCTTCTTTTATTTACATTTATTGTGTTGCAATATCAAAGGAAATAATGACTTAAATAATTTCCTTGAAATGAAATAACAAAATTTCTGTCGTTATATTGGAATGAACAGTCCAGAGCGTCTGTTTTACTGGATATTAAAATAATATTGCTTTTATTCAAAAGTGAACATGAATTTATGCATTGGTCGTTTTATCGGGGGTCACATTAATTAGTGCAGGCTGTACCATTTTTTTTAGTTCTAACTTTCGTGACGGTTTGTACTCATCAGGATCGTAGCCAGGATATTATTTCGATAAGGTTTCAAACTTTTATATCTATGTTTGCTTGTAATATGTTTAAAATATAGTTAATAATATCGCAGTTGAATAAAATTTTCTTTCTCGGACGGGCTATCAACATTCTCGTAATCGTAATTGATATATTTTATAACTAATAACTTACGTATTCAAAATTATTAAAACAGAAATTTCTATTCCTTAGAAACTTAAGGAAGAGTGTTATGTTCAGAGCTTTTCTCTCCATTATGCTGGCCATTAATACCATTAATGCTGGTATTTTTTATTTTTTTGACAAATTTACTTGACTAATAATAAAATTTCAATATTATTGCACATTTTAAAGAAAGAAAAGTTCTTAGAGAAATATTATTTTAGTTCAGAGATTCTGATTTGCCTTAGACATTTTTCCTAATTTCAATTTAATTTTGTTTTACATATTATACATGCGTTACACTTCACATATATGTTTTTAACCATAGTTTAATTTTGTCAATTTGTGTGCTTATCACCGTTACAGGAGTATTGTACAGAACATATATCGAAAGAAAGTATTGCTTCCTGCTTAATATCGATATTGACTTTGGAGCAATAAAGTCGCATTCGGCTTTCTGTGCCATTATGCTCTAAATATAATTCTTAGATGCACAAATTATGAAACGCAAAGAAATTAAATTTGATTTTTGATTGGAAATTTAAAGAAAAAAAATGTTTGACTGTTGAAAAAAAGTTTTTTAATTAGTATCCTTGTTTTAGTGGGAAAAATCCTATATTTGTTATTTCAGTTTCGGGAGTTTAAACCAGTCCGTGTGTATAGTATCTTTCTATGGTTTTCTTGGGCACCTAAAGTCTATATATATCTTCCTATAGCGTCTTCCTATGGGTTTCTTGGATGCTTGTATTAGCTGCAGATTTATTTATTAAATTATGAACAAAGTCAACGTTTTAAACTTAAAGAGTTTCTCGAGAGCCGAATTCCTTTTTTATCGCTTCTAACATTAATATGAGGAGAATTATATAAATACCAATTTCCCCACAATTAGTTCCAAATTAATAGTTTTCGTTAAAAATATTAAAAATTATTATATTAATTAGTTAGAAGTGACAAATTTATATTTTGAATTATTTTCGTTTTATTTTATTCATTAAAAGGGTACCCTTGCTTTGGTAGCTCGACGACCTACGCGCGAAGTCAATCACTTTACTCAAGACAGTTTAACGATGACAAATACCGTACACCCTCGGTACTTTCACAGGCTGATCAAAGTGGTCACCCACCCTCATTTTGACCCCAGCCAGAGGTGTTTGCCTTCGGTGATATACTGAGAACCGTGTTTTACGATCAGTCTACTGTAGAACGAAGATATGTTGAAATATTTTTTTCTATTTTATAAAATTGAATACCTTACGCTTACTAAAGAGTACTCAATATCCAAAGCTACCTGGAGTTATCAGGTACCTACCGAAATACTTTAGCAGAGAAAAAGGCCATTTTAGGTATATGGTTCTATATATACGATGATTCCTATATGGCTAACCCTTGCATGATTAAATAGGCTCTTAAACTGGATAAAATTATGAAAATTCAGAAATGAATTACTGAATTTTTTAAGAAAAAAAAATAAATGTGAGGGGAAAATTGGTACATTTGTCCTTCTAGTGTTAATAATTTTCTTTTTATTTTTCAAATTACAAAACCCACAGAGCCCTAAAAAATTGACAAGGACAGGTTAAAAAAACTCCATTTCGTAATTCTTATTTAGAAACGAATTCTGACAATTTTCAAATTGATATCTGCCTTTGTGTATGATAAAAATTTTAAATAAAGTAATTGCATTTCCACTTTGATATGTTGATAACAAATGTGTTTTTGATTTTATTTCAGAAATGATCTTGAAGCAGCTGAAAGGAAAGAATTCAATGATATCCTAAACGACATGAATAGACAGAGAAAAACATTCCGTGTACTGCAAGCGTATTTCTTATTAAAACATAATTCAGTGAAAGCTCTAAAATTGCTATGGTGCTCCATACCCGATCCTTTTTTGACAAGCAGTGACTTTTTATGTTTAGCTGGCAACAATGACTTTTTATTGGTGGAAGTTTTACGTGTTTGGATTTTGTACGAAAGATGCGTAATTGGCACCACTCACCTTGTATCTACACCCAGAACGCTAAAGCATCTGTCAAGATGTGCGGTACGATCAAGTCTTGCGGACTCTTTTCAGCTTCCCAAAGGTATAGAGAGTCTCTTTATACCCCGGACTTTGCACCATTATTTAGGAATAGTGAATTTGAATGATATCTGATTGAATTTTAGTGTAAATTTATCAACAAGGGAACAGTCTGCATTTTTTAGGTAAAATATTTTCCAAACAGTGAAAAATTTTATGAAATTCTTTCCATATATAAGCATAAAACTGCTTATAAGCAGCAAAATTTATTGATTACCACTGTTGGTTTGAGATTATTTTCCGTGATTGTTAAGCAGCGAGCCTGTTTGAGAAGAAATTTTCACTAAACAACGCAGAGTGTTTCTTTGTTAGTTGAGCAAAAAAGATAAGTGATTTTGTGAAATGTCAAATGAAATGTGAAATTTTGTGAAAGTATTTGCTTGCCATAAGAGATAGTATGTTGTGTACATAGTTTAATGTAATTCTACATGGGTATGCAATAGCGAAGTAATAAAGTTACTTAATTATTAATTATTTTTAATATTAATATTGTTAATTATTGTTAAAAGTTTCTTCAAAAATTGAGTAAAAAAAGAACTATGCATGCAGATAGTAAATGCTTAACTTAAAGAGAAAAAAATTTATTTCAAATTTTAAAAATTTTTGTCAAAGTTAAGGGACTTCCAAATATCACGTAAGTATATTTTTGCAATTTCGGACTCCCCTTCGCTTTTTTTCAGCAAAAATAAGCAAATCATTAACTTTGCTTTAACTTTTCGCTTAAACTTTTATTGCAGTAATCTAATTTTATGAAATTTAGGATCAAATTCAAATGAAATATGTAACTTAGCGTTTATGTTTTAATTTATTCTGTAATATTTTGAAACTCCACGATGTAACCTTTTTTCCATCTTTTCCTTTTACCAAATTTAACTGTTATTTCAAATTTGAAGATTTTCCAAATGTGAGTCTTAAAATATTTCTTTTCAGCTATTTTTATAGCATTAAAAATATTGATTTTAGGATCATACGTAAACATTGCCTTTGCAGTAAAAATAAGCAAATTGCAGCCCTTTCCTCTTTAATTGCTTACGTTATATGTCAAAACCCCCCTACCCTTAATCCGATAGAAAGTAAGATTAATCTTTCGCAGGCATTCACATTTAATTTATGCACAGATAAAACGTGGGAATTAATTTTCGTTGAATAAACAGCATCATATTATAAATAAGCCCATGAATAAAAAAATTATGCCTCTTTCCCATAAACACGCAAAAACAATTTGCAACATGTTATTTTGAATTATATGCATTTCCAGAAAATATCGAGTTGGTATAATGGGAAATCAATACGATCTGTTGCTGCAGTGGCTCAGAGTATACAAACGCAAAGTTTCAAAACCAATTAATTTGTTTAATAAATATTAAAGACGAGAAAAACTAATTTTATTTTTTGTTGATGTTACACAACAAATAAATTGGTTTTGATACATTAAATCCAGGGCCAGCGCTAAGGACTTCAAATTATTAGCCAGTAAATTAGCCAAATATATCAAAAGTATTAGCCATATTTTAAAATTCTTAGCCAAAGGCATAGGCATTATTGATATTTTTTTCGTAGAAAACTGTAAATCAAAATACAAATTTATTATAAATTGAATTATTTTATAAAAATGCAAATTCAAATCAAATCTCATTTTGCAGTTGAAGGAATGAATGGAAGAGGGGATGAAAAATGTAGATGTTTTATCGTCTTTGAGGAAAAGAAATAGGAATTAGCTGAGGTTACTTTTTGATCACTTATTAGATTAGAGCAGTGTAAGGATAAGCCGGAAGCAACGTTATGTTACTGTCACCTAATTGAATATGTTATTGCCAGGTTATTACTACGAAAAAATAATTTCTTTGCAAAAATAGTTAGTTGATAATATGCAACTTGCGGCCACTTAATTGCTATAATCTAATAAAAAATACAAGCTGTGTTAAAAATTTTTCTTCCCCCAGGATCGAGGGGAATATATATTTTTCTTTTTGACAGAAAAAATCACGCCAATACTTTTGCTAAGACATAATTTTTTTTTACCCCGAATTTACGATTTTATCGCATTTGGTGAGATGACGAATTCCTAGCACGGGCTCTGTGATTGTTTCGTCAATGATCCGTCATTTTAAGTTATGTAAGTTAATTTAAGTTAAGTCATATTAATTTATGCGTATCTTCAGTTCACTTTAGATATTATTCAGTTTGTATACAGTTAAGTAATAATTTGCGGCTTCTAATCCTTCTTCGTTTTTATTTTTTAAAATTTTTTATGAATTCATACTAGGCAAAGATATCAAAATATACATTGAAGATGTTGGCAAAACTTTTACAGTTTACGACAATTAAGTACAATAAACTTAGACGTAATATCATTTAATTGACTTCATATTAAATATGCATGTGTATTCAATGCAAAAATTTTAAAATAATACCTTAAAGCCTGTGTCTATTGGCTATTTTTAATAGTGTTATTGTAATTTAAAACAGACCAAATTCTTTAGGTTTCAGCCATGCAAATTACTAAAATACTTTTACTACATTAGTAAAATGATTTTTTTATGGCAAAATGTGAAATAAATTACACCACAACATGTAAATTTCGCAGAATTAAAAACCTAAGCTTCATTAAAATTTTTTTCGGTGGTTTTGATTTGATTAAGATAATAAAAACAAAGTTTATTTGGTTATATGCTCCCCTTAAGAAATACATAGTTGCATCTCTTATAACGTATAGAGTCGTGGTGGCTCAGGGGATAAAGCGCTCGTCTCTCAATGAGGTGGCCCGGGTTCGAAACCCAGTGATGGTAGGTCAGAACAAATTCTCCACCCGGCTCGCACCGACCACACTGTTGACGTAAAAATAACCTCAGTGATAGTCGAATCATGGGTTAGAGTTCCCTTGCTGTCAGGCTAAAAGTGAGAAGTTTTCCTCTCCATGTAAGGTAAATGCCGTTTAGTTCCATCAAAAAGTCCTCCATGAATGCAAATTTCTCCCAACACTTGATACAGGTGTTCTTTTGTCTTCTGGATTGGGTTTAAAATTGCAAGGCTACGAAGGTGAACATTAGTAGTCGTAAACGCAAAAATCTGGTCGACTGTTCAACGACGGTTATAAATTGAAATATTATTACGTATTCATTTAAAAAAATAAATGAACTATACAAACGGAATAATAATTTAATAATTGATAAAAAAAAACTTTATATTAAACTTTAGTTAAACCACGAAATTTAATAAATAAATTATTATTTTTATTTAAATATAATATTTTTAGGGGATTATTTAAATTTTTTATTGCTGTTTGATTAAGCTTAAATGTGTCTTAGAGCTTTTGAGGTCTGTAACTATCTACAATCAGATTACAATGCTACAATATATAGCTATCTACAGTCAGATTGTAGCTATCTACTGTCAGATGCTTTTAATGTTAATTTTAAATTTGCAAGCATGATAGCAAATAAAAAGTTACAAAGTCGAAAAAAAGGCAGTAGTATAATCAATCGAACAATTATTTCATATAGCTACATAAATATCTTATTTTTGCTCGAAAAAAAGATGCTCTATTTTGTTTTTGCTCTCTTTGAAAGGTATTTTTATCACAGTGAAGAAATAATCATAAAGATATCATCGCAAAGAAATAATCCTAAAAATATGTTATAAAAGTCCAGGTGTCTCTAATCTTCCCGGCAGGCGTATGTACTGAGAATACGTACCAACACAATACTTTTGAGTCAGAATCAAACTAGGAGGTCACGAAATAATGACCTTGGTGGAATTCAAAATATGCGTACTGATTGTGTGTGTAATGCAAGCAAAATGAGTACGTCTTTTAAAGACATATTTATCGGAACAGACATACTTATCGGAATTTGCTTATAGCAAATTCCGATAAGTAAATTTTTAAATATGGGATACGTAGCTGTTCAAAAAATTCTCAATCGGCGCTCAGTGGATCACTGGCGTTTCTCTCTCGTTTAAACTTTGTGTATACTAGCGGTAAAGGTAAAGTACACTTTATTTGCAAGGTATTCGGTATTATTTCATGCTACCATCTCGAGTACTTTTTGATCACAGTATATAATATTTCTTAATAAATATTTAATAGCAGATAACTAGAATCTTGTATTAGCTCTAAATAGACCTAGAAATAATCACACGCCACGTAACGAGTCAGCGTAAAAAAAAAGTGGCGACTTAATTAAATAAACAAACTTATTTCTTTCCCCATCGCTTTTTTTAAAATATCTTTTAATGATAAAAGTGCATCACTGTAGAAAGAGCATCTGAATTTTATATTCATTTTCATTAAAATGTTCAATGTCACCCTCACCATTCAAAATTTTAATGCTTCGAAATCTATCAATTTGTGTTAAAATCCAAATTATCATAGGAAATTAAAAGTTTACATTAAAAATAATAATAATTATATATCTTAAAATTAATTAAAAAATGCTTCTAAAATCGATATATCGTAGACATCAGTAGAAATGGCTCAAGTTTCACTTCCAAACCAAACGCCTGTGCTTAGAAAGTAAAGAAAGATGAATAGAAAATCTAATGTTTCAGTTTATAAAATAGCTCTAGATTCATCAACCACTTCACAAATGGACTTAGTCTTTGATTTATTAAATTTATTCATTACACAACAGTGCGTATAAGAACACTAAACAATGGAATTGCTTCGTGATAACAAATAATTTTATTCGCATGTAAAATAATTCATGCTAAAGCTAGCTATCAAATGAAAATGAATTATTAAAAGATCTATATAATCATTCGAAAACATGCCATTTGTAATATCGTTTAGACACAAAAATTACACTGGAGAACAAATTTCTTTCCTCTTTCTGTCGTATGGAGATATTTAACAGATGTTAGATACTTTTGCACTGCTGATTTCAAATATGCAATCGGTTTCTCTCACCAAGCTCCAGTTTTTTTTTTTTTATAATAACAGTTTGCACTGCTGATTTCAAATATTCAATCGGTTTCTCTCACCAAGCTCCAGTTTTTTTTTTGTAATAACAGTTTGCACTGCTGATTTCAAATATGCAATCGGTTTCTCTCACCAAGCTCCAGTTTTTTTTAATAACAGTTTGCACTGCTGATTTCAAATATTCAATCGGTTTCTCTCACCAAGCTCCAGTTTTTTTTTATAATAATAGTTTGCACTGCTGATTTCAAATATGCAATCGGTTTCTCTCACCAAGCTCCAGTTTTTTAAAAAAAATGACAGTTAAGTCCATTTTTTTGTCAAAATGTATTTGTTTAAAAAAGTTAAATATAATAAGGGATCGTTTAAATGTTGCGACAGGGGAATTACGGCACATTATCAGGATTAAAATTGCACAGAAGCCCATGCTCGAAAATGTCCTCACGTGCCACTAAGAGCCCTTCCCTATCATGAATTGTTTTTTTTCGTGTGCTCCTGAACAGGTCATAATAGGGAAGAACCCCTAATCGCGTAGGACGACATTTGCCTGGCAAGGTTTCCTTTGCAATTCTAGTAGGGTATAGAAATGTGCTTTAACCCCCCCCCCCCTAGAAAGTTTTTGCAACTTTTATGTGGCCTCCTGCTATATATAAAATATAGCCTAAAAATATCATTTAAAGAAGGAAAAAATTAAGCTTGACGACGTGAATCGTTAAGAAAAATCTCATGCAACGGAAATAAAAAAAAATTGTTCCAATCAGCGACGTGAATCGTTAAAAAAATCTCATGTAACGAAACTAAAAAAAAATTGTTCTAAAGTGTAATTTAACAGTTTTTTTACTACCTCTCCTGAAATAGAGAAGTACCATAATTATTAATGACGTTAATAATTTTAATCATTTTTGGAGAACTATTAGTATTGTAGTATTGCGATATTTCTTTGCCCAGCTACACATTATCTAGTTGAACTGACGCTTACTACAGAGCATTTTTTTCCCATTTGTTTCCTTTTTACAGCGACTTTCCATTGTTAAGTTTCACAGAGGAAAACAATAAAAATATTAAAATAACATTCGAAGCTGACGTCGTCAAGATATATCAGCTTCGGACGTCGCAAAAACACAAAACCTTTTCTATTGAGCGAGCACGACAAATGTCTAAAAATTGCTCTCTCTGTACCCTAAAGGTTTTGTAAAAAGTACAGGAAAAGAAATACATAATACAAAAACGAAAAAAGTAAATTGCATAAACTAATTGTAAAAGGAAAACATTTTAAACAAACCTACTTAAAAATAGACCTATTTCAAACCAAAGCACACAACAAGAATAGGTTGAAATAGGACTATTTTGAAATAGGTTTTTTCAATAATGTTTTCCTTTTGTAATTACTTTATGTAATTTACTTCTGTATTTTGTTTTTGTATTATGCATTTCTTTTTCCTTTTTCTGGACTTTTTACAAAACCTTTGGGGTACAGAGAAAGCAATTTTTAGACAATTGTCATGCTCGCTCGATAGAAAAGGTTTTGTGTTCTTATGACTTCCGTAGGTGGTACAACTTGACCCCGTCAGGTTTGGTTGTTATTTTTCTATTTTCATTGTTTTATTCCTAAAAATTTTCCATTGGTTTAAATTTTCTTATGGAATTTCTGCAGCATTGCGCAACTTTCCTTTGGAATTGCAGTATTTAACTACTTTATACATGATTTTTGTTTCTCTTTTGTTACATTGTTAAGGTTTTAAACAAAAAGATTTAAATTAATAAACATAGAGGTTAATTTACATATAGTATTATTTCATTAATTTTATTCGTTCTCTTTGATATACTTTTATTTAACCTTTTTGAAAAAGAGCACACATCAGCTGAATAAATACACGCTTTCATAGGTTTTTCACTATCTTAATTCGTTGACGTCACACGGATTTATGTATGTTGATCTTACTAGTATTAACCTAACATATGAAAGCAAATATGTAACTAATAAAAAAAAAAGACCGTATGAAAATGATCTTTTATTACATAAAGCTGTAAGATAGCGAATCACTGACAGTTAACAATATCTACTAAATCGAATAAAAAAACTTCTTTTTTTGGCATGTAATACGCGAACCTTTGTTCAAAGTGAGTTATAAAGTAAGCGTTGACAAGAATTATTTCGCTATACAGCTTCCTATTTCTGACATAGCTTAAAAATGCGTGCTAAAGAAATGGACAAAGCTTCGATGTAGTTTTGAAAAAATGGAAATAGTTAAAAGTGCTTTATTGAATAAAAATGTAAGGCTTGGAAAGCGAGTTCGAAAAATATAGCTCAAATGTCTGCCTTAGAAAATGGGTATAGCCTGAAATGCGTGATTGAAAAATGAATATATAGCTCAAAATATTTGCTTAAGGAAGCAGATACAGCTTAAAACGTGCTTTTTCAATGTTAAAAATGAACCCAAGTTTTAACAACCAAACAAAATTAATTCGCCCATATTTTTTAAACGTTTCCCTTACTATACCGAGTTTTTGTGTACATTACTATTAATTAATATTCCGTTTATAGAACTATGATGCCGGAATTTACAGTACATTTTTACTAACCGTTAATTTTTGGTTTCCTGTATTATGTTCTTTTCTCCCTTCATCTGTGGCCTAGCAGCCCAAAATGGGACCGGGCCTTCTTCAAAATTTGATACCACGCGACCCTATCTTGAGTTGCCTTTTCCTTTAGTGTAACCAAACAGTTTCTAAGCAAGCTAGAAGCTAATGTTCATTTCTCAGTAGCGTTAACTTAGCTGTCAATAAGAATGCTGTTTAACAAAGGATCAGTTTCAGGACATTAGCATTTAAAGGACATTCCCGTTTTCTTGTAATATTAGTAATTTTTTTATTAATTGTTTTTTTTTCCTATTTGCTTTATGTAACGCGAGTAATTTGCTTTAATTATGTTCATTTCACAGGAAAAGTGTTGGTTTATTTGAAAATTGTTGCCAGCCGGTCATATTTTACCAGTTATTTTCAATGATTTGTGCACAGTCCGGCCCCTAGGTTTGGGTCCCTCTTTCTCGAGTGTTGTGGAGTTCGCTTGTGTAAGATTAGTGGAACCATCATGAGCGAATGAAGTAATATTGTACTAACAAGGGAAACTAGGGAAGTGTGACTCGCCAATTTTGAAATAAACTGGTGGGATGTATGCCTTATAAGGAATAATTTCAGGGGGCAACATTCGTTTCGGCCCATAGAAGGTCCTGTGAGAGATAAAAAATAATTCAATATATAGAAAATCGGTATTTTATTACTTTAATGCTGTACATTAGTTATTGTAATTATCTCATACTCCAATTAATTTTGTGGCACTTTCATGTACTATATAATGCATATTTATTGTCAAAATTGATTTCGAAAATTTTATCTATTTGTAATTTTTCAGAAAAACCTGTTAAATTAATTTAAAAAAAAAATTTGACATCAAATTTTTAAATTTTTTTTTCTTCAAAAAATTTCCAAATTAATTGAAGTATGTAATTACAAATCAATTAACTAATTAATAATTAATTAATTTGCTAATTAGTTTATTAATCATCAAATTAACCAATTAATTACAAATTAATTAGAGTATGAGACAATTACAATAACTAATAGTCTGCATTGAAGTAATAAAATACCGATTTTTCTATAAATTGAATTATTTTTTATCTCTCACAGTACCTTCTATGAGCCAAAACGAATGTTGCCCCCTAAAATTATTCCTCATAAGACATACATCCCACTAGTTTATTTCTAAATTGGCGAGTCACACTTCCCTAGTTTCTCTAGTGCAAATTCGTTGAGAAAATTGTAATCGTGGTACTTGTAAAGTATCAAGGGTAGAAAAATATTTTATGTTAAGTTAATTTCACTTTTGGTGTTTTACTACAAATTTTTTTTGTTTTGTTGATAAATCTAATAATGTAACGAAAACAAAAAAAAGTGCTAAGTGTTTATTTATAAATAATTTGGAGTAGGACTAAAAATTTTGTAGTATCGTTGTATTAAGTTGTCAAAAATTTTTAAAAATAATTACGATAGTATTTATCTTCGAGAATACTGATAATTGTGGTAAATCTTCATTATTAACATTGTTACAAGCTATGTGTTTGGTGTTTGTGATCATTAGTTAGAATTTGAAAATGATTTCATATTTTTCCTACTTAGAAATTAACTTGAAACTTCTAATAAGAAGCTTTTGAATTAATTATTTTTTATTTTCTTAAATGTACATTAAAGGTGGTATTAAACGCAGCAATATGCAATACTGAAAATTTAAGTTTAAGGGTAAAATTTATAAATTTAAGTAATTGTTTTTTTAATGAAATATCTCTGGTACTACTTGGGTAGTTAATTGTAATATTGTTTCTTGCTTCTTTATGCAAACTTGAGACAACCTTAAAGTAACATTCCGTAAAATGTTAAACTGTAACACAATACATTATCCAAGCAATTCTCCAACTTTTTTAATTGGACCCTCGTCTTCTTCACTGTCTTCACACTCTTCGTTGTCTTCACAGTCTTTAAAAATGCTGAAGTCATATTTTTCTGAAGAAAGGAAAGAAAAAGAATAAATACATTATATCAAAAATGTCTGGTAGTAACCTGATATTGATTAATTACACTTTTAAAAAAATTGTAGCAACAGAAACTAAGATATCAGTATAATTGAAATCCTTCGATTAAAGAGGTTCAGTGTCATGCTTACCTACCTTTATTGAAGTAACTTTGAAAATAGAGATGCCATGCAAAAAAAGCACGAGTTTTTCTTTTAAAGTTCAGGAAAGTGGCAACACTTTCTAGACTAGCGTATACAGCGCCCATATACTTTAGAAAGCGCCCATATACTTTGCTACATTTTTTTTTATTTCCAATGGCAGGCCAATTTAAAGGAATAAAAAGGATAAAATAACAAGAAAAACAAGGCAAAAAAAAAATAAATAAATAGAAAAGAATGCATAGTGACATGCTTAGCCCATACGGGCCCTAGCCTCCCAGTAGCGTCCACACACAGTAGTGGAGATGAGCGCAGGACAAACTGAAATATGGGGTAGGTCCCTGTCCTCCCCAAGGCGACAGAGCTTGCATTTAGGACAGTCAAAAATGTTTATACTAAAAGGGTGTTTGGCCAGACAGTCATGGTCCGTTACAAGTCTAAAGAGAGCAACTGCCTTAAACCTGGACTGATTTGAGATAGTTAAAATATGGTTGAACCAGGTTTTGTGTATATTGCTTTTACGGAAATTCTCTGAGAGCATGTTCGGAATTGGTTTCGGACTAGCAATTTAAATGAGTGCAGAGAGATGGAGAAACGAGATGCTTGGGCAATAGTTGTTCCTTTCTTGACCAAGAAATCAGCTTTTTCATTACCCCAAATCCAGCAATGTCCCGGGATCCATTGGAGGACGATTTGCTTGCCTTTTAGTGTCAGGTCCTTCAGACAATCAATGCATTTCTGAATGGAGATGGATTGGGGAATCAGTGGAGAGTTAATATCAAGAAGTGCTGCTTTAGAGTCAGATAAGATGACGGCGCTAGAAAATTGGTCAGTACGACACTGTAGTTGCTTTAAGGCAATTAGAATAGCCTCGATTTCACCGTCGTAGGCAGATGCATAGTAGCCAACAGAAGCGTAGGCAGAGAACAGGTGACAGAACTTTTACTACATATTGGAGTTAATTAACAAATGTCAGGACAAAACACTCATACGGTCTGTGATCCTATATGGTAGTGAGTGCTGGACTCTTCATAAGAAAGAGGAGAACAAATAGCTGATTTTTGAGAGAGGGATACTTAGAAGAATTTTTGGTACAGTCTGTGAGAATAACATATGGAGCACCCTTTACAATCACGAGTTATATAAAAAGTATAAACAACCAGAGATAGTTCATGTTACTAAGGCCAATCACATTCGATGGCTGGGACGCTTTTATAGATCTGAAGACCAAAATCTTGCATAAAAGTAACTTCTTTTTAATCCAGAAGGTACAACAAAAAGGGGTCGTCCGCCGACTGGGTGGTTGGACGCAGTTGAGAGGGAAGTTAATAGGAATAACTAACTGGAAGGCCATGCCACAGAAAAATTCAAAATGGCAAAAATTTATTGGGACCACCTTTGCTGTCATAGGCTGTAGTGCCCAAGAAGAAGAACATACGTCAGGAGAATCGCTGAGTCTCAGCAAAAATAAAACCAATAAGAATGAAAACACCGCGGACCTTAACTCCAAATTAAATATTCACAAAAAGAGTCAACATTGTTATCAAACAAGAAAAAACATGATTGATGAATTAATTGAACCCTTTGAAAAGAATTTTACATAGGTTATGGAAGCTTGCAGTGACCTACTATTTTCATAATACACTTCTAATTCTTAATAATGACAAATAATCGATATTTCACCATCTTTTGATCTAGCACAACCTACAATAAAAGTATGTGATCCATTATCAATACTTTTTCATTCATCATAACGTTTCATTCTTTAATATTTTTTCATTCATGTTTATTGAGCGGTAACATCAAAAGAAACAGTAGTTTGTAATGACTGTTACAATCATGAGACAGCATCACAATAAATATTTGCTAGACAATAAATGATATAGTACTTGAGGCTCTTTTGAGACTTTGCACATGGCAAAATAATTTTGAATTGTTACATTGTACTTCAACTTTAACTTTAATAGACTTGTAAACAACACGTACAAGTCCTTTTTTTGAGAATTAAGCTAATAAACTGGAGTCCACTATCCAGTTTGTGGGGATTTAAATAATCGACTATGTCAAGCTACATCTATCAAAAGGTGGAATCAAGTTAACATGTTTCATATATTGGGGAATTAATGGTATTTAATATTTATAGAGGTAGTTACGCCACATTACTCCCCTTCCAGAATTTTATATGTGATAGAATTCGATGAACAAATACCACTAATTGATTTATGCTGTTTTTTTTTATTTATATCATTTTTGCTCATATTGTTTCGTCATTTTTGTTTATTTATATCATTTTGCTCATTATTTTTTTCTTCATTTTTTGTTTAAAGGCCGGGAGACTTCTTATTTGTTTTACCGGATTACTATTAATATTCTTTTTTCATCTTCTTTGAGCAGTATATTTTTAAGCGAATCAACTGTTTAATGCGGACCATCCATCCATGTTGGTAAGTTCATATCACGTCCGGGTCACCATTGTGGGGATTTAAATTATCGACTATGTCAACGTTCATCTATCAAAAGGAACCTCCAGATCAGTGGTTACCAACTGGCTGCCCTCGAAGCCTTTTTTTGTGGCCCGCGAACTAAAATATATTAGTTGTTTTTTTGCGGAAATTTTCGTAAAAAATTTATATGAGTTAACATACCAACTGTGCAAAAAAATTTATTCCTCAGGTTTTGCATCTAAGAAAATATTTATTCAAATACAAAAATGATCGTGCATGCTGCTCGTTTTTATTTCTGTTTTTTTTTTGTATTTTGTGAATATAATTTAGCATGTGCCTACCAGAAATTTTCTCGAAGAAATTCTCCGATTTAACTTTTTGAAACCTCTCATTTTAGACGAAATTATTAACATTTGTAAATTTTAAATTTAAAATGAAAATATCTATTCTCGGTGGTTGCAGCAGACAAACCTCAATTCTCTCATTGAACATTTTGTGTGCTACTATGTAAGTTTTAATACCAACCTTTTTGAAGATTTAAATCGTAACAATTAGATATCTGTTACACATTATTTGTTTAATACATAGGTGCATATTAAAGTTTTTGTAGCCAGAATTTTTTTGATTTGCAGTTAAATATTTTTAGAAATCTACTTCTTATTTTAATTTGTAATTCGATACTTTTGTTTTGCGCAACTTGATAAAAATCTGAAGTAATATTTAATGTTCCTTCAAACATAAAAGAGTCCTATATAAAATTCTGATAAAGTTGCGGCCCGCCATTTGACTGGTGTTTTTAATTGTGGCACCTGGCCTCATGTAAGTTGGAAACCCCTGCTCTAGATGGAATCAAGTTAATATGTCTTATATATTGGGGAATTGGTATTTAATATTTATTGTGGTAGTTACGCCACAAGTTATTAATGTTTTGATTATTATTTAGAACCAACAACACATTTGAATCATTTCATTAAGGCTTTTTGCGCTATCCATTGATTTATTATCAATGTAATGATTTTTCTGTTAAACCTCCAAAATAATAAAAAAAATAACTGATATTAATATTTTTAATGGTTTGCTTTCAGTATAATTTTTACGTGAATTGTCTAAAAAATATTTTTATAAGAACCGAGAAAGATTTATTAGTTTCATATGTTAAATTATTTAAAAAAAAATCTCATTTATCAATTAAATTTAAATATAAATGTAATTAAATATTAATAAAATTAAATATTAATGAAATTAAATAACATCTTTTATTAAATTTTAGTAATTTAAATGTTGTTTAAAAGCACTTCAAAGGAATAGCTTTAATCTGATTATCAAAACATTTTATCATCGACTGAAGTATTTATATTTCTTTTACTAGAAATTTAAATTGTCAGGAAGTAAGCAATCTAAAATAATTTGTGTAGTAATTGATTAAATTAATTTATTCGTCATCAATATTAGAATTTGCAATAGTTACGTGCTTTCTGCATGCGTTAATTTATTCTATTTTTAGTTGGATTAAAAGTAATAAAAATGAATACATTTTAAATATGTCATTATTTTTAACAAATTATCTGTTATGTTTAATATTCAAATGTTGTTATATTTTAAGAATTAAATTTGCATTTTAAATTAATAAAAAGTATTAAAACTGGATTTAATCAAAAACATGGCATAAGAATTACATATAGTAGTTTTAAATCCTTACTACTAGTTATGTTCTAAATTTAAGATTGATCGGTATCTGTTGCAAAAGGTATTAGATATTTATATCTGATAATCGTGTGTGTCAGTTAAAGATTGTAACTGATACCGAAGAAATTGGCACTCACCCATACCAGGTTCAATAATTTATAATTTTAACTACAAGTTACTATAAGTAACTTATAGTTTTAAATCTCTGCTACTAGTTAGGTTTTAAATTCAAGATCAATCTGTATCAGATGCAAAAAAGTATGAGATATTTGTATCTGATAATCAGGTGTATCAGTAAAAAATTGTAACCGATATCGACAAAATTGGCACTCTCCCAACCATCTCTAATAATACTCATGGTATTTTCAATAATTTATAATTTTAACTACAGGTTTAACGAAAAGTAACTTATAATTTTAAACCCCTTCTACAAGTTAGTTTCTAAATTTAAGATCGATCGGTATCTGATGCAAAAAGTATCAGATATTTGAATCTGAAAATCATGTGTATTAGTTAAAATTATAACTGATACCAAAAAAATTGGCACTCACCCATCCATCTCTAATAATATTCATGATAGGTACAATAATTTGCAATTTTAATTACAAGTTTAACTATAAGTAACTTATAATTTAATATTCCTTCTACTAGTTGAGTTCTAAATTTAAGATGGATCACTATCTGATGCAAAAATTATCAGATATTTGCATCTGAAAATCATATGTATTAGTTAAAAATCATAACTGATACCAAAAAAATTGGCACTCACCCATCCATCTCTAATAATATTCATGATAGGTACAATAATTTACAATTTTAATTACAAGTTTAACTATAAGTAACTTATAATTTCATATTCCTTCTGCTAGTTAAGTTCTAAATTTAAGATCGATCGCTATCTGATGCAAAAAGTATCAGATATTTGTATCTGACAATCATGTGTATTAGTAAAAATTATAACTGATACCAAAAAAATTGGCACTCACTCATCCATCTCTAATAATATTCATGATAGGTATAATAATTTACAATTTTAATTACAAGTTTAACTATAAGTAACTTATAATTTCAAATTACTTCTACTAGTTAAGTTCTAAATTTAAGATCGATCGCTATCTGATGCAAAAAGTATCAGATATTTGTAACTGATATTCATGTGTATCAGCAACTAGCTCTAACTGATATAAAAAAATCGGCACTTATTAATTTCTAATAATGCTCATGATAGGTTCAATGCTCATAATAGGTTCAAACAAATGGAAAAAAATAAGCACATTACCGTTATAAGGACAAATGATTTCCGTGTCGAAATAATATTTTCTTATTTCTCTGGGTTGATCCTTGTTATAATAATATTCTGCATCCATTCCTGCAACAGCACAATCAGTGGAATTGTCTCGGCAGCATCGGTAACATGCCCCCGACTTAAAATCTTCATAACTGTCACATCTAGCACCGATGAATTTGCTGCTTGGAGAATTAATGGACACTTTGAAGTACTGAATCGATTGCAAATGAAAGCAGAACGTAGGGAGCAATGACACTAAGCCTAAGGAAAACCATAATTTGTTGAAATTACTGATTGAATAATTTTAAAGAAAGTCACGTAATTGACAGTTTTGTAGAGATTCAGAAATATATATCGAAAGATTTGTTCGTATTTAATTTAACAATGTTTCCGTTCTTCCATTAGCAAACAAATACACTTACGACATTTTAAGAAGACAAATTGTATTAGTAATTGAAATGTAATATTTTCTTTATATAGTAGCAACAGCTAGTAATTCTTTTAGGGAAAAAAAACACTCACGACTTTTAAAAGACTTTAAAAGAGTACTTCACAGTCAAAGGAGTATTTACGTTTGTTTAATATTATGATTTACTGTGGAAATATATATACATAATATTCTAAAATAATTTTATTCTGTTGGAAACAAGAATGCCCCAATTGCATTAAAAAACAAAAATTTGAATAACTTTTAAGATGTAAGCTGTATGTAGTTATAAAATAATTACCTAACTCACGAAGTTTAAGAATCGGAGATACCGAGTGGACAAAGTAATCCAATTTTTCGTGATTTTTCTTATTGGCAACAATTAGAAGGAACAATGTTTGAATAAATGCTTCCATCTTAATTGTGTGTTTTTTCTTTTATTCCTATGATTATCATTAAATACAGAATGTATAAGTATGCGTACTTTTCACAAAAAGTAAATATTTAGTATCTCATTCGCTAATTCTACAAAAATTTTTATATTGGATTTGACTATTTTTTATAAATAGATCAACAATAATAAAGGAAAATTATTGCCTTTAAATCTTCCAAGAATAGCAAAATGCAAAATGGAACAATTAGTTACACAGCTTGTGTTCTAACAGTGTTGCCACTTTTGAAAATTTTTATCTCATTAAAAACAACATAGATTTCAGGGAGAGTATAAAATAACTTTGATGTATGACCCGCTGGAAAGCATAGCATTTGAGTGAGTAATTTTGTACATAGGTTTTGTGATCTAGCTCTCAGAAATGGTGCTAAAAACGATTACGTTGACCTCACTGTAACAGTTACAGTGACAAAGTTTCGAAATTTTTTAAATAGCAAAATTCACTTTTTTATTTATCTAAATGTAATCCTTACAGTAGAAAACTTAAACTGAAGTTTTAACGATACTTTTTGCACAAGAAATCACGACGCTAGATTTTTGCAAAGCATCCCCATTTTTCGCGACTACTAACAAGAAGGAAGTGTGATAAAAAGACTTTAAAAACCGAGAAAAAATTTACAAAGAAAGCATTTAATGTTTTCAAATTTTTTGTCAGTCGTCACATGTCACTCTCTCCTCGTTAGTGGTAGCGAAAAATGGCGCAATTTGTTTTGTGCTAAAAATATCTCCGATTTATGTTGTTTATTGCAAAAATTACGTTTTGATCAAAGAAAGTGAATGTTACGGATTTGAAAATTTCGAAATTTTGGGACTGAAACTGTAACTACGAAATAATTTTTAACATCATTTTTGACCACATACATCGTAATATCTATGTACAAAATTTTGCATAATGCTCCACAGAAGGTCCTATGCCGACAAAGTTATTTTATAATCTCCCTTTATTTGTGCTGATCACCCATGTGGATAAGAGAAAAGCCATGGGACAAAATATTACTCCTCATTTGAAATAAAATCATCATTTAATTATTAAAGTTCTTCATACATTCACATAATTAGAGAAAAAATCTTTTTCAGTCTCTGGAATAAATTCTCTAGAACACATAAAATATAGATCCAATACCAGATGAGTGCATGTAGGGTTTAAGATCAGAAATATGCCGTTAAAAGAGTGTAAAAACATAAATGAAACATTTTCCTTAATTGTTCAAAACGCAACAAAGAGATTGGTTCGGAACACAAATGTTCTCAAAAATGTAGAATCGCCTAAAATTGTAGATGTAACAAAGTTTTCGGAACAATCGTTAAAAGAGTGTAAAAACATAAATGAAATATTTTCATTAATTGTTCAAAACGTAACAAAGAGATTGGTTCGGAACACAAATGTTCTCAAAAATGTAGAATCGCCTAATAGTGAATGCAACAAAGTTTTCAGAACAATTGTAAAAGAGTGTAAAAACATAAATGAAACATTTTCTTTAATTGTTCAAAACGTAACAAAGAGATTGGTTCGGAACACATATGTTCCCAAATATGTAGAATCGCCTAAAATTGTAGATGTAACAAAGTTTTCAGAACAATCCATTCTGGGATATTGGGATAGCTGGATACTTAACAGTTCAGTTACTAGTCAAATTCAGTGTTAGTTCAGCATATTGTACAAAATTTTAATTTCTGATAACGGATTTTTTGTAAGTGGAAAGTATCATCATGATATCATTTATTACTGTGACGAGCTTTCTTGGTCTAAATTCATTACTTTTTTTACAGCAAAAATAAGTAGGTTTATGGTTTTTTTTATCATTAAAAGAATAAGCATGTCTTTTTGATTTTAAAGGAGAAGTTTTACGGTTTTGCCTTTTGATATATTTAGTTACTTTTTTTAAAAAGCGAAATATCTACATTTATTTAAAGTTATATCTATTACATATGTTGTTTCTCTCAATTAATTAGGACGAATAAATTACGAACAAACGAATGGCATGCAGTTTTGACCTATGTAGGAGAATATTGTTTAACCCCTTCAGCACCTGCGGAAGGAGAAAGTGGCGGAAGGAGAAAGAGGCGCGGAAGTAGAAAGAGGTTCTCCAGTCCTGGACACTCCGAGTTTATACGTGCTAAAAAGTACGCATACGTACTAATGCGAGATGTAATACTAGAGTACAGTATTGCGATCACGAATGTGTGATCATGTGCTACTGGAGTCAATAAAACTCGTTTCACATTTGATGTAGTAGGCAGTAAAGGGAAAATCGCGCTATCGAGTATATAATCACGAGTCTTACGGGGTTAAACAAGAATGCTAGATTATTATTTCGACTATTTGGAGAACAAGTCAAGCGAATTCGGTTTGTGAAACGATTCGAAAGGGACTGCTGTACAAGGGGCCGGTGAATGATAGTGAGTATGGAGTGGTTGACTCATTTATAGTTCAAAATTTCTTAGTGGAATGAGCCTTTTTTTTAATCTTTACAAAATGCGAATGTTTTTCAATGTAAATTTGAATTAATACTGGAAATAATTCGAATTTTATTGTACTTACCGTAAAACAAATCTAATCTTAGAACTGTGGCGATACCATATTCAAGACACGCTGGTTGAATACTTCCGCCATTGGGATAAAAATCCACGTGTCCAAGAGGGGTTTTTAATCCAAAATTAGTAGCTGAAACAGAAATTAATATATATCTAGCAAACTTGATAATATTTTGTTTTTAAATGTGTAAAATAGGATAACTTTTAGTTGAGTAACCAGGAGGGACCTGCCTGAAAATGTTAATACTTACGGAAACATAATCCTCCGTCGCTATGAATGACGTCCACAAATTTGGCATTTTTATAGGATAGTTTTCCATTATGAATGTCTTCATTGGAGACAGGAGCCACGGCTGGATCTAGAACTGAAGCCAAGAAAAAAAAAAGTAGAAAAAAAAATTAGCAAGCATCGACTAAGAAAAACAACATGGAGTAAAAGGAGATAATAACCAAGGCATTAGAATATCCAGATCATTATAAATGTTCCTGGTGTTTCGATAAAATTATGTCAAATAATCCAACCGTACTATGTTAATAAAACTCTTCTCCGTTCTATTGTAAATCAAAAGAGTTGACAAAGTTCTCTAGTTTTCCCATTAAACAGTGCATTAAAGAATACATGAAAACCATAACAATATAAGATTTTTTAAACGCTTATTACATCGATGTATTTTATAATGTATTTACCGACTTTGGCGACCAGCTTCGTCTCCTTTCAAAGTTATATTGTACAACGTATAAATTTCAATGGTAACCCCGCCGATTGCACAGACAACTGTGTTTAAATATTCTAATCTGTAGGGATCGATTTGTAAGATAGGCAATATGATCTTTGCAGTCCGAATGAAAATGTAAATCCTGGACTGATTGGGTCTTTCCAGGGAAGACTTATAAGTCAGATAAGACTTTTTGACTTTTCTAGAGCATAGTGCTGAGATCTCAGATACCTATGTAAGACTGTTTAGAGGAGCAAATGGTTTACAGTTTATTTTTATGAACGACAGCGCATGCCCACACAAGGAAAATATCTAGAAGCTGGGAATATTTAGAGAATGATGTATCCAGCCAGATCTCCAGGTCTGAATTTCAGAGAGCATGATTGGGATTATCATGGTAGAGCAATTACAGCTTTCATTGAGAAACTTTCCATGGTTAAGAGCTGTCTTAATGGAGCTAAAGGGAGCGGTTATAATAGAGTGAGATTTCTAATCCCAAGATCCTATAAAGATCCTTTAAACCCCACGAGAGATCGCAGTCAAGGAGGACATGCATATATTTTAACCGGTACAAGTGACATTTGCTGCATAATTGCTAGACTGTATTGCTGTAATGTTTATTAATTCAAAATTGAGCCCATATACTTCTGTTACTCTTTTTGCTACTCTCTGATGAACTATGTTGTAAAACTTCAATGTATTTGGTTTACTATTTTTTGAATTACCCGCAAAAATGAGTTTTTCTCTTATTTTTTGTACATAAGTGTATGAAGAAAAAGTAAACCTTAAAGTTTTTTGTAAATTTTTTTTTAAAGAAACGAAGGTTTTTTTTTTACATTGAAGATTTCTTGCCATTTCCCTAAACAGCAAAAAGATGAACAAAATTTAACCTAATAGTTATGAATAACTGGGAGGAATTCCATACAGTTTTAAAAGCAACATATTATTTGCAAAGCGTTATTTCTTGTGACGAAAAAGGATTTGAAGATGCCTTAAAATAAATGAAATTAGTTTAAATCAATCAAGAGTAGGGGAGAGTGGGGTCAATTGTAACAGGGTACGATTGTAACAGAGCAAAAATTTCGAGCGTCGAGTTTTAGATTTGGTTCCTAGGTGGCGCACAAGGTGTATTTAATANCTGTGTACCACATCACATAAAAGTAAAACTTCTCATTTAACTAACGAGAAAGAAATGAAAGGCTTAGCTAAATATTTTTACATCGTCAAATTACTTACGTATGAACATTATTTTATTATTTCTAAAGCTTACAGATTGCTTTTATGAGAGAAATCGAGCTGATTTTCCGAATCATCACTGCAAGTGTAGCGCAGGGCGTCAAGAAAAAAAATAGAACAAAGTTTTAATATTTAATCAAAATCTTATTTTTGATAACGTTAGGCTTTTTTAGTCACGAAACTTCTTTAGAAACCAGATATTTACTTTTCAGCAGGATTCTAATCCAGCACAAACAGCTATAAGCTTTCGAGAATGATGCAAGACTTAGTTTTTTTTTTACTAAACACGAATAGCCATCTTATTTACCAAACTTTAATTCAATGTATATATCAGTTCGGTTCACCTTGGTGATAAGGGTTTGTACTAAACCTCATGAGAATTCGGCCTTCTAAAAATCTTTGTGTATAGAATGGATCAACCTTCGAAAGGAAGGTCCTACGAACCATCTTTGGCCCTATACTCGGTAACGACAACTGGAGGAAAAGATATAATTTTGAAATATATAGAATCTTTGATGGCGATGATATCATTAAATCTATTAAATTAAGCAGAATGAGATGGGCCGGGCATGTAGTGAGAATGAGCCCAGAACGAACAGCATTGAGAGTCTCTAATGCAACTCCCTCCAATAAAAGGCCAAGAGGAAGGCCCAAAAAGAGATGGAAGGACTGTGTGGATGAGGATTTTGCCATCCTAAAAGTAAAGAACTGGAAAACAATTGCTGGGAGAAGGGCCCAATGGGAAAAGCTTCTGAGGAAGGCCCAGGCTCACAAAGGGCTGTCATGCCAATGCTGATGATGATAGAACGGATCAAAGTATCAGTTAAAGGGTTGTGGCTAGTGGATGAAAAATTCCACAAGGCATTTACTGTTATGTATAAAGGTGTGTGGTTTCTTTGAAAATGTGTAATTCCTTGAAAGAGTGTAATATTATAGGTTATGATGTTTCCATGTTTAGTTGAAAGTTTGACCTTTACATTTTAGTTTGCTATAAAATTACTGCACGCGTGTTCGAGTTATCTCCTAGTCACCCAGTATTATTTTAATTTAAATGAATAGTAAAATAAACCATAGCTACTATAAATAGCTTACTATAATTTTACAGACATTAAAAATTCAATATTTTGAATTTGAAATTGATTTATATTTAGTAAGAATTCTTTTGAAATCATAAATGTGGGAAAGATTTATGATTTTTTAGTGCAATATTATTTTTGGTAATTTCTACTTTACTATCATGTTTACTTGACACGACTTGTTTGTTCTTTAAATATTTACTTACAAGTCAACCTTCGAACTATATTTTCTTCATACTGATCTATCAATATTTACTTACAAGTCAACCTTCGAATTAAATTTCCTTCATTTTGATCCTTGATAAATTTTGCTGCCGTACCCACAAAATACGTGCCATAACTGTGGCCGATGAGATGAAACTGGTCTGCCGTTACACCAGTTTGATTCTAGATAAAGAAAGTTTTTTTTTAGTAAACAAATTTAAGAAAAAAAAAAGAATGGGATTAAACATGATTGAATCAAACATGACTATTTTTAATGGGTTTTGAATCGCAACATCGCGCAAATTTGCTCGGTCCTGTAACTTCTTATCGCTTTCGACTAAGACAATTTTGAAGAATTTTACTCAACAATACTTTTGGTTGAGGCAAAATTTTTCTGTTTAATATTTTTACGATATGGTAACGTCTCTTTGCTATTAAATCAAAGAAAGATATAACAATAATAATAATATAATAACATACAACAATATAACAATGGTCTGTTTTTATGGACGGATCTAAAAGTACACCATATCCATACAATAATTATTTTCTTGTGATACATTTCTTGTAATGAGGTGAAAATCTTGGTATGAGTTTGGTGTGTCACCAAAATATTTAAAAGAAGATGAAATTAATAAAATGAAATAAATCAAAAGTGTTTCGAATCATTTTATTAAGTTCATCTTCTTTCAAATATCTTAAACTACATCCCGATTACCATAATCGTTTGGTTGGTTGATTTATTTACCCATTACTTCCAAGTCGAGTTCAAAGTAAGAAATTTTAGAAATACGAGATACATCAAATTATTACCTGATTGTTTCTCGAATAAAACTGAAAAGTGGTTAAAAGCATTTATTAGATCTATGATAAAATTTTATTAGTCAATTTGGTGGTCAGTGCTTATAGGCAGCAAAATGTGAATATACCTGTCATAGCCAGGGCCCGATTTACATATCTCGGGTCTTTGGGCACGAAGTCACGTGGCACGAGGTACGAAGAGTGGGCCTTCTAAAAGAGTCGACAAGTTTAAGTTAACGTGCATGGTCCGCAATCACAATTTCAAAAGATAACATTTTAGACAAAAATTTGTAAACCATATTCGGAAGCGTATCATATAAAAATGTAAAATCTAATTTAACTAAACTTTGAGAAAAATACTAAAATTAATTGATAGAGTAAGAATTGTTGGTGAGAATGAAGAAAATTATCTTGGAAGAAAGTTGTACTAAGTACCTATCTAATTGCGTTATTGTGGAAATATACATTGTTTTAATAAAAAAAAACAACAACTATAAGCTCTTACAGGCTAAAGATCGAACTAGTTAAAAAAAAAATATAAGTAAAAATCTTTTCATACGTATCTTGGGAGTGAGGGGCCCTCACAAATTGGGGGCCTTGGGTATATTTCCCGAATACCTTCTAGTAAATTAGTCCTTGTTCATAGTCAAAATTTAAACTTTCGCCATCTTTGTCGAGAGCAAGCGTTTTGTCTTATAAGCCATCTAAACTTTTTCTGGTTGCCAAATTTTTTTTTTTACATAATTGGGTATACTATAGCCTACGTCACAGATCGTGTTATTCCTACTAAATTTAACTAGTAAACAGCATTTTCTGCGAACCTGATTTCTAGCAACAAGTAAAAGCATCAAACGAAGTGTCTTGTTATAAGTCGCTACTCGCCAGGTTGGAATTGTATTAGTCTAGTTCCTTTGGAAATAATTTATATTGTTGTTTTACCGAAGTTTATGAATTTATTAAGCATATTTAAAACTCAGTTTATTAATTAAACTAAAAGGTAAATGTTATTCCTAGTAAGTGGAAGTAGTTGTGCGTTTTTCATATTATACCCAATTGAATAGATTTTTGATTGAAAATATTTTTCTCGCAATCGCTTGAAAAGAAAATGGATGGAAGTTGTTTGTATGGAAATGGATGGAAAGAAAAACTGAAACAAACTGAGCTATAAGTTGGAAGGATGGAAAGGATAAAAGCGAATAATTCATATCAGCAAACAAAGTGTTTTATATGGTTAAAATATACTTGAGGGTGCCCCTTGGCGAAATTGGCGGCTTATGTTTGGCGCCATTCCTGTTTGCGCGGAACTCCGTGGTAACAGGAATGGCGGCTAAAATATAATGATTATTTCAATAAAACATTGGAAAATTTCAACAAAACATCGGTCAAAACTTTATAAAATTGCAATAAACCCAATATAGGCAAAATTAATAAACCCAATAAAAAGCATTTTGAATTGAAAAAAAATTTTATGGAGTAAGCACGGAAAGAAAGGGAAAAAAACAACTCATTTCTTCATTAAGCTTGAATATCCTCAGATTTAGGAGCACAGAATTCTCGAATAGCAGTTAGATACTGTCTAAATTTATCATGAATAGAATCTGTGTACCACATCACATAAATTCGGAAAAATACAAATCGAAAATGGCGTCTGTGGTACCAGACTGGCGGTGACATTTTTTTCTAAAGTCCCTTTGTATGACTGCCCACATACCTTCGATCTTATTGACCAGTAGCAAAAGTAACCTTACTAGTCGGTATCCAACGTAGAACTAACGGACCTCTGAAATTACATGTATCGTTGAGCATTTAAAAATAACGCAAAAATCTAAACCAATCAGAATCACGATTGGGTTTCAACATCACCCAGCTTGGCGATCAACCGCAATCACAACTTGGCGAGAATCAAGTGGCACCCTGAAATATAATCTACCCTTTTATATTATGTTTTAATAATATTCATGTATGTTCAGTAATAATAGTTTTATTCATTATCGTTATTATTAATTTAAAATGAGTATTAGTCGCGCTGTTACGATTTTTAAGTAGAATAAAGAAACATCCGTGAAGATTAAAAGAAAGCATTGATGACATTTATGAAAGACGTACCATTAAGGAATGCGTAGGAGACGAGACGTTATACATGTTGTTTTTTAAAAGCATGATTATTGTTTTTTCTTTAAAGTTTTTCTATTGTATGCATTTATTTCAAGAGGAGATTTCAGTATCGTGATCTGTGGCAGAGTAATCGCCAAGTCTTCCAACCCCGGGCAAACATCTACATGTNTTTTTTTTTTTTTTTTTTTTTTTTTTTTTTTTTTTTTTTTTTAAGGTTTGCAAGTTTAAAATCTATTTGGCATCTTGGCGTTTGTAGTTGGCGTGACAGATCATAATACGGAAATATCCTACATTTCATTCTAAAATTTTTAAAGAGAAATTAGGGTAAATTTTTAGAATAGCCCACCTCTTGGCAACTTTTTGAAATCTCGTCAAGTTGGTGATTATCACTAGGATCAGCGTTGCTTTTCGATTATTAAAAAAAAAGAGAAAAAAAAAACACTAGTCCATTTGCTCACCATTTTCAACCGATACTGCTAAAAAGAAGAAATAATAACGGTAATAAATGAAATAATGGTTAAAAATGAAATAATAACGATCATTCTAATAGCAAGAGATGAGAAGCATGAATGGCGAAAAAATAAACCCTTTTACCTCCTTTCTAACGAAATCCAACCTTCTCGTAGGTATACATATCGAACAACCAATCAAGTTCAAGAATTTTGGTGGCGTGATCGGACGTTCAAAATAATCTCCCAGAAATATCTTCCGAAAGCCTAGTGTGGCAAGATTTTAAAAACTTGCATGGCGTGATTTTAAAAAAATCGCCATGGGCTGGGTTATTTTAGGATCCTCCCAGAAATTAGTTTTAAGAAATGTAACAATTGATTTAGTTTCTAATATTTTACGGTATAACCCGTATCAAATGGGTTACGTTAGAACACATTTTAAATTGGTAACGCTAGAACACATTTAAAAAAGGTTGCGAACGAGCGGTGCGAGCATGGTTTGTAAAGCAAGCCTTATAAGATTTCACAGCAATTTTCAGAGGTTGAGGAGCGTTAGCGAACAGCTGATGGAACAGCTGGAGCCTGCTAATTTGATTTATTTTCATAACCTCACTGTTTTACTTGATTTTTTTCTTTAATAGTAACATACCATGATATTTTGAATAACAAAAGCTGCTTGTTCTCCAGCGACGAGAGAGTTCTGAGCCGCTGCTCCTGGATCTGGTGTGTTGCCCCATGTCCAGTCGACGAGAATAACGTTGTAGTCGCCTCTTATAAAAAGTTGCGTTTTTATTTCCTAAAAAAGAAATTCTATTTTAATTTCAGTAGATAAAAAAATAAGAGAGATAAAAAATAAACTTTCTGAAAACATTGAGCAATGGCTATGATTGCAAATACAGAGAGTTATAGTTATTAATATAATGCTACGTTTCCATCAAATGCACAAAAGAAAAAGCTAAAGTTAGAAAAGAATAAAAAATATGGAAAAAAGATTCGTATTACGATATTTCACATCGAGAATTGATCTTAAAATGAAATACAAGTAAAGACACATAACATCACTAAATCACGTGATGGGAAATATTGTTTGTCCCGAAACTAATAAGTCTTGCATGTTTTAATTGAGATTCTGTATGCTTGTTAGATAAGTTGTCATGTCATTTTGAAGTGCTGCAGACTAAATTGAAATGTATTCAGCATTTCCTATTTTGTCTAATATTACTTTAGGATAGTTATAGTCACCCTATATGCCTATGACTATGCAGGAAATTCAAGAAGAATTAATCATCAGGCTGAACTTGCTTAGATATAATGCAAAAGATCTTTAAAAGACTATTTACAATAGGCTTCCACTACACTGTTAGAATTTTCATTCTGAAATTATAGAAAAATAACCGGCAGCAGTCTGTTCACCCATTTAACCATTAAGTTTACGGTAAATAACATTTTTTACTTCTTCAATTTTGTAACCGTTTACTACTAGTATGGCTGTAAGACCATGATTACAAAACTATGTGGTTTTTAACCATTTACAACTAGCATGGTTTCAAATCCATAAAAAGAACTTTAACTGGACATAAGAGTTAGGCTTTTCGTTAGGTAATGGGCATTATAAAGTGCAGGACACCGGAAACTCTTCATGCGTTGAAGAGAAAGCAGGAATTATTGTGGTGTCAACGTTGGCACTCGATTCTGCTATTCATTAAACTGACACATTAGCATTCATGGCTGTAATATGTACACCGTTGCAAGGAACTAAGTGGCTTCATTAGGTTGATTTAGTTGGGGTGATAAAAGTCTTGTTGTCTAACCGTATTTGGTGAAACCAGTTAATAAACGGTTTTTCTCCCAGTCAAGAGTTTCATTACAGTCTAATTTATGGTTATTTGGTTGCCTATTTTGAATATGGTAAAATAACAATGAAATAAAATGCTATTTAAAAATTTTTTCTGATAAATTTTTAACAGTGTGTTCTGGGCTTATTGAAAAATGCAAAAAAATAATTCAGGCTAATTGTGTTATAAATTGATATATTTCTTACCTAGATTACCTAGAGATACGTTTTCTCACTGAAATAGGTTAGAACTGCCAGGTTGATTTGAAAATGCTAGTGACTTTTTCAACTAGCTTGGCTTATTTCAAAATGAAGGAGGCTATAAATAGTCGGATCATTTAATTTATCTACTATATGAAACACGCTCATTAACATAATTGGATTTTAAATTGTTCATTGCATAGAAGAACGTGTTTAGGTAATTTGTATTTTTCTCTGTCCTCCCGTTTGCTGTACTTTTCTTTAATTCTACTCTTTAAAAAAATTATCCCAACATCACAAGTGTTCAGAATTATGAGCCAGTTGTATAATAAAATTTTGCAAAAGAAAAAAAGAAAAGACCGCATGTAAGTGCAAGTTAATTAAAATTGAAGCTGAACCTAACAATTACCCATGTCTTAAAAGAAAGAAATGAGCCCTATATTGACGAAAGGTAGCCACATTTCTTAAAAAAGGACTCAGATAATTTTAACAAAGACTGTGTGCCAGCAATACCAGCAGAAGTAATTTACCAGCTATGTTATTCAATGCATAACCTTGTACGTTATACTTTAAAAAATCAATTAAAAAAATTCCCATTTTTTAAATTAAAAACCTTTGTTATGTGAAATTTGGGACGGCCTGAAGGTTGCCTTTTTTGTTTTGATTGATTATTTCTCTCATCCTCGTCTTTTCTTCTGTAGTATTGACTGGCTTTTTCTTTTTATTAAATATTCTAACAGTCCACTTCTCTTATTTGGAATTAATTAGTGCCCGGCAGTGCTTACGACTAGCTATCGACTTCAGTGACTTATTCGTTGCTACTTTCAAATAGTGCTAAAAAAGTAAGAAAAATTTATTTCTTACATTAAATAAAGGTCGACTATATTTTCTATTAACAGTGTTAATGATTGAAATCCTGATTAAATCTTACCTTAAAGCTGGTTGCATTTACAATTAAAATGATTTGGTAATTTAAAATTAACTAATTGCAGTTTTGTGCCCATAGCCATTGCTAAACGCAATAGCTAAGCCTAATCACAGTGGTAGGAAGCTAGTTTGAAGGGTTTCATTTTGGTTGTTCAGATTGTTGACTATCGACAATCCAGAAACCTCTATACTTTTCTTTTCTTAAAGGCTTATGCTCAGAACCTAACAACTACCTATGTCTTGAAAGAAGGAAATAAGCCTGCCTTATATTGGGCCCTCTCTCTGTAATCTTTCTATAACAGCCTCTCTATCAGTTGCTTCATGACAAGAGGGACGCTCCATCTGAAACTTTAAGCTTTGCATTATTTAATTCTGATGAATTAAATAAGTGTATGAATAAGTACTTATGTAGGTAATTTACACTTGATGTTTAAAATTACTTTGAAAGCAGTATTGCATTGCTAGATTAGCAGCGATAACAGCTATGTTTATTCCTATGGCGAGTAATGTATTCAAAATTAAACGGGAAAAAATGCTAAAATAACATTAATATGATCAATTTTTTGTGTACAACGTTTTTTGAACTAATGTTATCCAACATGAAATATTTTATTTGAAATACAGTGCTTGGAAATCTTATGTGACATTTGAGGGTTTGTATTTTGAATCAATAAACATAAATATTTTTACATTCAGTTTCAAGAATTTGCTTAGTAGCAATATTGAAATAATTAAATTGCACAGTGTTAAAATACTAATTTTATGGACAATTTAGACATTCGTTTTTTAAAGACGCGTTTTGGGGAAATATATTCCCCAACTTCAACAGAAATACTGAAGTATAAGACACTAACAGTATTCTGAGTAGGAAATAAGATGGCGCCAGAATGACGTTGGGGTTCTAGAAGTTTTCGAGGATTTAATGTCTGTGTCGTTTTTCTGAAGACATTTTTTTATTCATATCCCTTATAGGCTGATTAGAAAATTGGTTTGTAAAAGTATGCACCGGATTTTACTATTTTGTTTCAAATCCTCAAAGCTTCTTTTCCTCTTTTTTTCTTATGGACATTCATTGTTCCTCAATGTGGTTTCCATTATTGAAAATCTGAAAATTACAAAGGAATTTGGAGCTTACTCTCTGCCAAGCTGTTCTACAGAGTCCATCCAACCATCCATGTGCAACAAAAATTGTATCTACATCTTTATCAAAATTAGTGTCTACAGGCAATTTACCGCCACATTTGTGCAATGGCTCAGCTTTATCGGGATTTGTAGGAGTGAAAAGAGCAAATATCGTCTCTGGCGGATTGTTGCCTATTTGTGGAGTTATCGGCTCATAGGCATCAGCTATAGAAATGTCACACTCTTCGTAATGGATATTTTCAAAACAATCTACTACTTGTTTCCCAAGGCCAGTGAAAATATCGTAAGCTGGAAATAAATGAATTGAGAGATTAAATGATGACTATTTTGATACCTTATGATTCAGTTAATTATTATTCAGCTCAAGATAAGTGCCCATGGTATATCAGTGAAATAGTGCAGTATATGGAGAATCTCTATTGGGGTCGTAGTAATGATATATCAGTTCTAACTCATATGGGTGTCAATTAGTTCTACCTTAATAAGTAAGTTACATAGATTTTGTTAACTAATTTTTAGCAAATTAATTTTGAACAAATTAATTTAAATTTCATAATGGAATTTTTACTTAGACCGGAATACAGGACCATAATTTCACTGTATATGAGTGAATATAAATATTCCTTTGTAAATAGTGGAAATTCTGCAGATCATTGAGGAGCAAGATCGCAATTCTACGTTGCATGAGTTACTAGGACGTTTAATAATAGAATTGCAATATTAATTATCATGCAAGGGCAATTTTTCGTAACTGCCCTTACATGATAATTCGATAATTCAATTCCTTTCGGATGTTCTTGTTGAGTCTCTAAGTTCTTGCTGATGTTTCGTTATTTAAATGTATATTATCTTAAAAAGCGCAAATATCGCCATGAGAAACCAATGGTTTCATATAATTATTAAAATACGAATTTATTGACGTCATCAACAAACTTTACGGAATTATTAACGTTGATTTTATTTGTAATAACCTAAAATAGGTAACTAACGATAAATAATTCGCATAAATGAAAGATAAAACTAATTTTTGATCTGTCAGAGCTACAAGCTAGCAAATCACAATCACAAAATATTTATTAAATTCTGTGTAAAACTCTTTTTTTGGGATGAAGCGCGTGAACCTTTTGCCAAATTAGACAGCTCGTGAACCGTGAAAAGTTTGTCAGTAGACAAAGTTTTAAAGTAGACAGCTCGCTATGTCTTTGAACGTATGTAAGCCAAATTCGGCGTGGATTGGTTAAGAGCTGCGGATTTGAATACGGTACATACATACATATAAATATTCGACCTTTTTGTATAGATATGTTATAGCAGATTATTTGAATTATCCAACATGATTGTGGTAGCTGAACTGCGTCACCAAATTATTATTCCTAAAGTTATCTGAAACCTCGTGTATATTGTTATGCTTATTTCTTTGTTTATAGTCATGTTTTTAAAACGTGTTACTGTAAAACTAAATAAATTAAAATCAACGGTAATTGGGTATAATATGAAAAAAACACAACTACTTCCACTTACTAGGAATAACATTTACCATTTAGTTTAATTAATAAGCTGAGTTTTAAATATGTTTACTAAATTCTTAAACTTAGATAAATCAACAAAATAAATTATTTCAAAAGGAACTAGACTAATACAATTCCAACCTGCCGAATAGCGACTTATAACAACACACTTCATTTAATGTTTACTTGTTGCTAGAAATCAGGTTCGCAGAAAATGCTGTTTACTAGTTAAATTTAGTAGGAATTATAGGAGCCTTAGTAGGAATAACACGACCTGTGACGTAGGCTATAGTATACCCAATTGTTATAAAAAAAATTAAGTTTTGCCCTGAAAAGCACTCTTAAAGGAGAAATGATGCAAATTCATTGAGGGGAAACGCATAAAACGCTAATTATTATCAACGCCAATGATACTTAATTTTTGTAATAGTTACTTTTTGAAGTAAAATTATCTATAAACTTAAAAGCAAAATTATTAAAAAAACAGTACTAATTCACTAAAGAAATATTATTGACTTCAATGATGTTTATTTTATTTTGATAATGGGTACTTATTAAAATTAAAAAGCTATGTACTAAAAACCATAACTAATACGGAAAATGTACTCATTTATTGTTATAAGAAACGGTAAAAAGGCGCCATATTATTATTGACACCAAACATGCATAATTCTGGTAATTATTAACTGCATTATGGAATTGGTGCAGTTTTAAGAGGTACAAAAGTTACTCTTTTATAGGTACAAAACATTCTGTGAGTAAATATGATGTCTATTAAAGCTGCCCTTCCAGGATACAAGTACAAAAGAAAGTTGCTAGATTGTGGTAAATTTTAAATATCATGAGTTGCCTTGAGCAACAGGGTTATGCCAGATGATACTGAATACAGTTAGAATGCAACTAAATACGCATTTTGTTAAATCTAATTACGTAAAGATAACGGGATGGGCAAGAAATAATACTAAATAATAAAAAAAAGACAAGAAAAAAACAAAAGACAAAAACAAGAATTATTTTAGCTTTATAACTGGATCCGTCGCTGCCAGATTAAATTGTATTCGACAAAAAGATTTAAAATCTCTGATTGCATATTCATCAGTATCACAGGAATCAGAAATATTAACTTTAAATTATCTAGGAATAATAAGGATCATTCATTATAATAATTGCTCACGGCTTTTCATCATCAGCATTATTTCTATTAGTAAATATAATTTGTTCGATATTTATCTTTCAGTTTTGTGCAAGATTTTGTAGTATTGTTTTATGCTCGTTTATTGATTCCTTTTTTCACTCAGTATTAAGAATGGTTACTCAGCTATGCCTTTAGTATAAACTGAATAGTTACATTATAATAAATCAAATTAAAATGATCTTGAAGAATATGAAGAACTACGTTTTTTGAAAAAGCAGTTAATAGTTTCCATAATTTTAGGAATATTTTTTAAGCATGATACATAACATGAATCAAAATTATCATAATTATAATGAAAGTATTGTGCATGATTTGAATAGTTATGTAGTTTGACTTCTAATAAAATATCAACAATAACAGAAAATAAATTGCGGTATGTTTTTAACACTTTTCAACAGGTTTTGACGCGTCATATCAAAACCCTAACCATGGTTAGCGATATATGTAATAGTTTATAGTTATAGCACTAGAAGCATAATAGTTCGAGGGTGTAACCATAAATATGCTAATTAATTTGTTCAAACAAAATTTAAAATTATAAAATAAGACACAAAAACGTACTTTTGCCGAATAAACCTTTTTTCCAGATTTGAATTCTCTCATAATATGAGGAGGGAGGAGCAGCAATTCGGAAAATATCATAAAATAGTTTGGCTAGGGTAGCTGTAGAAAATTATAACCCTCTATTGCTAATTAAAATTTTTTGGTATTCGAAATATCTTTTGAATATTTCGAATGAATCACTTACTTTTTCCACAAAATTATAAAACTTATTCAGCCAAATATGCAAATTAGTTAATGAAGAAATTTCATTAATAGGAATAAAGCTTTAAAAGTATGGTTAAAGAAGCAAAAATTGACGTTGAGAAATAAAGAACTTTCGAACACTTTTTTGGTAGAACATAAAGGCATCATATTTTCCTAGACTGCGCCCTTTTCATATTTCAAAGACTAAAAATCTGTCAAAAAAATGAATGTTTATTAGACAAAATTATGTTTTTGCAATCAATTGCGTAATTTTAATGAACTTCCACATTGATTGACTTAAGATATAATAAAAAAAATGTTTTATTTTATCAGAAATACCATCGTTAGATCAAAAGTTATTCGAGATTTTTTTGTTTAGCACTTCCTGTTGGATCAGTATTAGTTTCCATTCTTAATTATTCTTAATGCTATACTTAAACATTTCTAGAAATAAGTGCAATGACTATTTCAAAGGATAAAAATAAAAAATAGTTAATTTAAATGATAAAAAATTTAAACATAAAATTGAAATTCATCTTTAATTATTAATTTTAACTACTTACCATGACAATGGAGCAAGAACAAAAACAGACATATATTACACAGATGAGTAATCATTTATACGAAAAATAATATTCTGAAAGCAATCGGCGAATATTATTAATATTAGATAACTGTACTTAGGTTCAAAACTTTGATATTCGATTTATTCTTAAATTTTATGTTCTTGATTATTCTTAACACTTCACTTTAGATTACTAAAAGTAACTGCAATGACTTTTTGAAAGGATTAAAAATAATGTATAATCATTTTAAAAGATAAAAAATTTAAACATAAAAATGAAATTCATCTTTAAACTCAATGTATTATTAGTTTTAACTACTTATCGTGACAATGGGACAAGAGCAAACACAGACCTATTTTACTTAGATGAGCAATCATTTATACCTTAAATAGTATTCTGATAACAATCAGCATATACTATTCATATCAGATAACGGTACTTAGGTCCAAAAGTTCGATATTCTATGTATTCTTAGCTTTTATATTCTTGATTATTCTTAACACTGCACTTGAACATTACTAAAAGTAATTGCAATGAATTTTTGAAAGGATTAAATATAAGATATAGTTATTTTAAAAGATAAAAAATTTAAACATAAAATTGCAATTCATTTTTAAATGCTACATATTTTTACTTTGTATTACTTACCGTGACAATGGGACAAGAACAAAAGCAGACATATTTTACGTAGATGAGCAAACATTTATACGCTATATAATATTCTGAAAGCAATCAGCATATATTATTCACATTAGATAACGGTTCCTTACGTCCAAAAGTTTGACCCTCTATATATCTTATTTTTAACAAAAGCGAATGTTCTATTTACTTATTCAGGAAAAAAAAATTTTTTTTTCCCTCAGGAAAATTATCCCAATTGCACGTTCCTTTTATTCAACGTAGGTCCTGCGAAAACAAAAATGTTAAAAACATCCTTGTTAACAATTTGCTTAAGGATGCTGCGGCGAGATAAACAGATGTCATAAGCGCAAGTGCAGAAATATCGTGACATAATTTTGATACTCCTCTTGTTTGTACAATTGGTATCATTATGAAATTTTTTTCACGATTTGATGAATATTGACTTGTTTTTTTTTACGGTTAGACCAAAAATTTTTTTTCGCGTGGAAATAAAAAAAAATTTGCCTGAAAAGCTGTGGATACTAGTTATATAAGTGCAATCAGTCAGAGATTTGTGAAAGAAAGTTGGTTTGCTTTTTTATTTTTTCATTTTACAATGCTTTTAAATAATATTTTTTTAAAATGATTATACGTGAAAAGAAAATTACTCAATAATTTTAGTGCGCGCATGAATTGTTTCTTAAACGTAAACATATTTTTCGTAAAAAATTAAATTTCAAATGTTATAAAGTGTAGTTTAAAGTAGTAAAATGTTCTATACATATAGAGTAAAGCTGCTGGCTTTAAATTATTGATTCTGTTTTTTAATTAAAATGCCAAATATTTTAGTGCAATCACGAAAATTTTTCAAAGCGCATACCTTAGTTAGTTTTCAATAAAATATTATATTCCAGACTTCAAATGAAAATGGTTAAACGGTGTTCAAGCAGGGAAAAGCTAATAACTTTAGAAAGTATGATACTTTTAATTTTAAATATTTTAGCTCCTTTGTGAATTTTTTCAATACGTTTTTCAATCTTTAATAAAAAAAATATTTTTGGTCTTACAAAAAAGTAGTATAATGTCTTTTTTATTTAGAGTAAAGCTGATAACTTAAGACATGGTGGTTTTTTTGTTGTTGAATGCTGTTTTATTTTAGCTCACTCATGAAATGTTTTGGATACGATATTAATTTCTGATTTTTATAAATTTTTATTAAAAAAATTATATTTCACACATTAAAAACGGCAGTTTAATATACGTCATGTATTCACCTTATACTCGATCGTGTTTCGCGTTCTCAACGGTAGAGGGCGGTATTTGTAGTGGTTGTTTCAGCTTCCGGTAGAAGATTCAGGTTGAAGAAATTTTGCTGGTGTAAAATAAATTGCGTAAATTGATGATTTATGAGTTAATAGATGATTTATGAGTAGATGATTTATGAATAGATGATGTATGAGTAGATGATTTATGAATAGATGATTTATGAGTTAATTTTTTACACAAAAATATTACACACACACAAAAAAATTTCAGAACAGCTGGATGTCCCTAAAATATACAAACAAACCCGTAACGTCAAGGAAAGAAATAATCATGTCAATGCTATGCCATCAGAGAATAACCGCAATACAAGTTTTGTTTGTTTGTTTAGGAAAGATAGTGAATGTAATCAATCTTGAGACTTAAATATATTAAATTATTCAATGATTATCTCAGAACACGCCCCTTAAAAAGGGTTGTGAACACTAACCAGTTAATATTTGTTTTGGCTGTATTTTGATGAAGATATATTAGAAAATTGTGAAAAGCAGTTTCAACTCATAAATGCTCGACATTTTGGTTGCCAATAAGAGATTTCAAATAAAATAGTGACATTAGTGGAATTTTGGAATTGATTTTTCGGATAGATATAAAATAATCATGTTATCGTTTTGATTTGCTTTGAGTTTTTACTGTTAGAAAGATCAAGCGTCTTTCGAATGCAGTTATTAATAAATAATTGTTTGTAAAATATGAACATTTAAACAGCTGTAACGTGAGACAATCTGACCAGAAATAACATTTCAAGATTGCACTGTTTTCTATAATCTAAAAAGATAATAATAGACCTGGTTTCATTTTTAGAAATGAAACCCTCACTTTTGACGATTCAGCAGTCCTTCAGTCGTATTTCGTGAATTTTGAGAATCACTTCATCTGGAAATAACTTGATTTGTGACGAAACTCGAATCCTCAAAAATATGACGAAATTGTTCTCACAAACCTGTTCTGGAATCACAACGCAGTGCATTATGGGAGATTTTTTTAAACTAAAATGAAGATTTGACAAAAGGAGTTTGAGAGGAAAGGGTCGACCTGAACTGCGCAAAATTTTCTACCCCCTTCAATCAGTGACATCAATTATCGAACTCTCCTCCTTACCTAAATTCGTCACGGGAGGGGAAAGAAAGTAGGAAGTACAATTCAAAGAGACTAGTTTAAAAGGGTAGCTACAAAATTGGCTGTTTTTCGCCAAAAGATATTCTTCCTTAAAGATTTCTCAATATTTTTCATTATTTAGAATTAAAGTTTTTTTTTTGCAAGCACATATAATAAATAAATAAATATTATATTGAGAAATGTTTAATAAACTTGTTTAAATGGGGCAGAATTGGACAGATTTATATTAAGATCCTTCTTTATGTCAGAATAGCTGATAAGTTTTGGTTTAATTAGAAAACATATTAAAAATGTTAACCTCTAAATATTATTTTTTAATTTTGAGGATTTTCCCAAAGTGGTTTGCACCTATTTACTCTAAAATAAGTTTATGGTGAAAGTATTTTTTACAGTTTTTCATTGTAAAGCATACATTTTAGAATGTATAAAAAGGTGTAATTTTTAATGGTCAAATACTAAGATTGAAATTATTAAAATGGTATCTTTGCCGCATACGATATCATCATCTTATTAAAATTGAAAAATTTAAAAAAAAATTGTTATTAATTTTTATTTATTTGTTTATTTATTATTTTTTATAAGATTTCATTCTCGAATGAGTGAATTTTATTAATAAATGCAGAGAATTTTTGGTTTATAATAATTTGTTCTAAAAGCGAGATAAAACATATTAAAATAGTACTAAAATTGTTTAAAACGGTTCCAAATTTATCGTACTTGTCATGTTTGTGTGCCGTTTTGAAACTTAAATTATCATCTTCACTATTATATAAAATATCCTTCGCTATATTAGGAATATTGTATCTTAGTTCAGAATTTTTCGATTTTAAGATCAAAAGTTATTCAGAATAAAACGTTTTGTTATTTCACAAATTTATTCCTAGGCTAAGATAATGCAATTTTTTAATGAAAAAAATAATAAATAAAAGGTATTAAAGAATAATAGCCATAATGCCGTTAACAAGTCAGTTCTACTCTTCCAAGAGCTAATAGAAAAATACCTCAGAGACGATTTAAAAATAGATTCTCTTAATGAAATTTTCAAATTATCACTATCCAAACCTGACTAACATTGATCAATTACATTAAGTTTTGCTTTAATGGTTTCGTTGGACTACAATGATTCTTCGTAACTTTTATTAGCGAACATTGAATGGAATTGAGACATGTGAGTTTAACGAAATTTAATTCAAAAAAAGCTTTTGGTATTGATTTATAACGCTTTCTTTCTTTTATTTTAAATTCTTAAGAATCAAATGAAATATTTAATATTGAAATTAAAATAAAAATTGAAATTATATATACTTTTACTTTTGATATATAGATATATAATTTAAAATCAATGTACATAAAAGTAAAATGTATTTTAAGACAATTAACTAGATTAATAAAGAAGAA